ACCCACTAAGCTCTGATGGAGTCACTTTTAAAACAAAAATGTGTAGTCGAACAAACACGGTTCACTGGAACACTAGTGAGTGCATACAGTGGTTCATTTTAAGTCGAATTTGCCTTCTTAAGGTACATGTTCTGTGTGCCTTATTTATGAAACCAGAAACATGTGACATACACTGTAGAAAGATTTTCTTGGAAATATATTCTGATAGTTTTAGCATCTAAGAAAATTAGTTTCATTTGTCAGGGAAATTTAGTTAAGCTGACATGCCAGGGAAATGAAGAATTGCTACAGAAACCCACGAATTTGTCATTTGCTGTACGTTTGCAGAAACATGCCCTATGTCTGGGTTCCAAATACAATATAATTTTTAATGTGTTACAGACTAGAGATGTTTGATCATTTAATTGTGAGTGCATGTATGTGTTTAATTTTATGTTTTTTATAGGATAATTGACATGTTATAATGAGCTAAGTGAATAATATTTAATTATTCTTCTTGTGTTCCTTAATCTCAACCAGGTAATCTCTGATGAAGGCATTTCATAAGTAAATAAAGTAAATAAAAATCAGTTATTATCATCTGTGTCACAGATTAGTAAATCAAAAGAAACTCTCTTGGGGCCCTTGGGTAGCTCAGCCGGTTAAGCATCCAATGCTTGATTTCGGCTTAGGTCATCTCAGGGTCGTGAGGTTGGGCTCCATACTCAGTGGGGAGTCTGCTTGAGATTCTCTCTCTCCCTCTCCCTCTACCCCTACCGCCCAACACACTCTCTCCTCCACCTCGCTCAGCTAAATAAATCTTAAAAACAAACAAACAAACAAAAAAAAACTATCTTTCCCCAAAACCTTCTTTTGGGCAAGTAAACAGTGACCAAAGCAGTTTATTTTGTCATATTATCTTAAATCTTTCAGGGATGGAGATTGTACATCTTTTATTTTTATCATTGGATAAAATTATCTTGTGCAAAAGTTTCTAAGTGCATTCTACAAATGAACCTTTTTAAATACTTAATGGAATACCACAATGCCCTTTACTAATATTTTAGTGCCTTTCCTCACTGTGTAATGCTTCATAATATTTCTTAACATTTTTGCTTTCTTTCCATTCTTTTTATGAGAGTGAACTCCTGCACAGACTAATTTGCTGTTTGTTTGTTTTTAGTTAGTTCTGTAACATAAGCACCTCCCATTGTTTTTTCTTACACAATGTGAATTGCCTAATATACCTAACTATTCTCTTATTCTTAGACATGTGGGGTTTTCCAATTTCTCTGTTTTATAAATAGCATTATCTTTGTTCATGTAACTTTCTTATATTCTTAGGATACATTTGTAATAGTGGGATAAGTAAGGATATAGCAGCTTTAAGGCTCTTGGAATATATTGCTCATTACCATCTCTTGACCTAGAAAACATTTAGATGAGTACACTTAGAATCATTGGACCATCTGTTCAGAAAAACTGATATGACATACATAGATCAGGGATTACAAATTGATTTCATCCCTTGTGTCAGGTTTAAGAAATTGGTCGTCACTGCCTGGAGCACTGTGTTTGCGAGACCGGAACAGGACTACTTGATTACTGATGTCTTCTGTATGAGTGGGAGGGGGGGAGACAATCTGAGAGCCAAATATTTGCCCTTTATACTTTTCATTAAAATAATAATAATAATAATACTTTGCCTTTTGTATGTACTTTTTTGCTGCAAACCCCAAAATTGGATAGAAAGCATGTATTAGATCAAAAGATCTTATCTTAATATAAAAATTCCTCATTAAAAATTAATTTGGTAATTATACAGCCATGCTCACCACTTACAGAAAAATAAGTACAGATATAGCTGTATAACTAAAGGTTTATGAGAACTTTTCGAAGTTTTTGTTAAAAATATTTGATTTGGGGGCACCTGGGTGACTCAGTCGGTTAAGTGTCTGGCTCTTGATTTCGGCTCAGGTCATGATCTCAGGGTTGTGAGATTGAGCGCCCAGTGGGGCTCCATGCTGAGTGCGGAGTCTGCTTGAGATTCTCTTCCTCTTCCTCTGAACCTCCTCCCCCCTAACATAAATAAATAAATCTTTTTAAAAAAATAAGTGAATCTGGGTAAAGTGTCGATGAATGCTCCTTGCACTATTCTTATTTATGTAATGTTTTGTAAATTTGAAAATAATCATGGCAGGAATGGTGTTGGAGAGAAGCAGGGTGATCCACCAAGCTCAGGTGTTGGGCTGACTGCATTCTGTGCTATAAAAACAGGATTAGCAGCAGGTTATCTTAAATTTCCAATCTTCTAGTTTTATATTTTCACTTTGATACTTGAATTTTGTTCCTTGTTTTTGGCACAGTGATATTTCATCTTTAGTTCTTTTATACCATCATTGTTTTGCTCTTCTAAGTATAATATTTTCTTTGCAGAACTTTGTAGGTCTCCAATTTAGCCGTCTTATTTTAGCCTTAGTTTTTACAAGGCTTGAGGCATCCAGCAGATAACCCTTGAAGTCTGGGGATTTTTCTTTCTATACTTTTTTAAAAAACAGCTTTATTAATACATAATTCACCTATGTAAGTGTACAATTCAGTGGTTTTTATTATATTCACTTAGAACATTTCTTCACCCCAACATGAAACCACCTTCTCATTAGCAGTCACTTCCCATTTACCCTCTTCACCCATCCCCTAATTACTAATCTGCTTTTTGCCTCTGGATTTGCTTATTCTGGATATTTCATGTAAATGTAATCATTCCATATGAGGCCTTTTGTGATTGACTTCTTTTAGTTAAAATGTTTTCAAGGTTCATCCACATTATAGCATGTCTCAGAACTTCATTTCTTTTTTTTTTTGCTGGGCAGTGTTCCATTGTACGAATAGACTACATCTTATTTGTCTACTTATTGGTTGACATCTCGGTTGTTTTCATTTTTGGGCTATTACACTATGGAATAATGTTGCTGTGAACATTTATATGCACTTTTTTTGTGAACATGTGTTTTTATTTTTCTTGTGTATATAACAAGGAATCAAATTGCTGGATATATGGTCACTCTGTGTTTATCTTTGAGGAATCGCCAGACTGGTTTTCCAAAGTGGCCACTCCATTTTACGTTCTCACGAGCAGTGTATGAGGGTTCTGATTTCTCCACATTCTGTCCAGCATTTGTCATTATTTGTCTTTTTTATCATAGCATCATCATGGGTCTGACAGGCCTTTTTATACTTTTAAACCCCCAAAATGTGGTCAGTTATCAGTAATAAAAGGATCTTCATGCTTTTCTAGCAGCAAGCCTGTCTCTCCATTAAGTATGGAATACATAAAATAAATAGACATAAGATAACATAAGAAAAATTCTTTCCTTTTCCCATTTCTTTTCTGTGTTACTACAAAATTATTTGGAGAGAATCTCATGAAAAGTAAGAGAGATTGGATTTTTAAAAATTGTATAGCTAGAGTTCATAACTTTTAAATGCCTTTACTGACAGATACGTATTTAGCATTTGACACCTTGAGTCTGCCGTAAACACTGGTGCCACTGACGACTGCCACTTTATCCTCCAGTTTTAGAGCTCGACTTGATTGCAAGGTGGTGACCATGTCCATAAGGGAAAGCACAATAAACTGGAGTTCTTTAACCTGATGTCAAAAGGTCTTATGTTGACTTTGTAGCCATCATCACGGATTGTAATGTTAACAAAGGAATATTCCCTTTAATTGCAGTTTTTAATATTTTTAAATTGAATTTTATTACTGCAAGTAGGAATTGATAAAGTAGGCATTGAGTTTAATTTTTATAAATGTATGTGTGTGAGTTCATCAAAGGAAAGTAGAAAGCAAAACAGTATTTCTTTCTCCCAGACTTTATTTGGCTAGCTATAACAAAGGCAAGATGATCTTAGTTTCCCAGCTCTCCTAAAAGGCCAGTTTTTCACATGTTGAGATCTGTATCCACATTCATGGAGTTGACTTAGATCATTTTTATTTGTCCTACTCAAATTTAATTCACCTTAAAAAAAAAAACTGCTTCAGGGGCGCTTGGGTGGCTCAGTCGGTTAAGCATCTTGATTTCAGCTCAGGTCATGATCTTGGGGACCTGGGATTGAGCCCAGTGTCGGGCTCCATGTGCAGCAGGGAATTTACTTGGATTCTCTCTCTCTCTCTCTCTCCTGGCCCCACTTGCACACACGCTCTCTCTAAAATAAATAAGTGAATCTTTAAAAAAGAAAAAAACAGTTGTTACAGAGGACTTGATTAAACTCTGATCAATATGAGAATAGTTTATATGTAGATTCCTTTCTCATATCAAACTATAAGAATTCTAAATTAACTCTTAAAGCATTACATGTCCTCTCTCCTAAAACTCATGTGTTCAGAACTAAATTAAAGGTAGGGAGTAAGAAGTTCTTAATACCACTTCTACTGATCATCCATATATAGTATAATCTTAGCTAACTTCCTTTTTCAAGCATATTTTTAATCTATAAAAATGAAAGTAAAACCCCCTTTTCGTCACCTATTTCATGGAGTAGTACGATGGCTGTCAGATGTAAATAGGATGAAGGCTTATTTTTATTCCTCCTTCCCTCCCTTCCTTTATTTACTTTTTTTTTCCTTGTTTTTGTTTTGATCAATTATTTCTGAGTTTTTGAGTGGAAAGACTATTGGCAGTTGCCAGAAGGTATTCCCTGAGAGTACTATGCTGATGTATGAAAATACCAGCACACACTGGGCTTTTGCGTCACAGGTGCCTCGGATCCATCAGCTCTGAAGTGTTGATGGAAGATGTTCTTCTTGTGCACACAGTTGGGCTAACTGGGTTTCTCCATTCATGGTGTTCTCTCTACAGAGGTTCCTCCTGGCTGTGCCTGAAGTCCAACACTTGACCTGGATATTTACGGTTAACATTTTATTTATTATTTATTTTTTTTGGTCAGGAGGGCATGAGCTTCCCTGTCAAATGTGAACTGTCATCTTGGTAATTTCTTTTTGTGTTGAATTCTTACAGCTCTCCACACAAGGAGATGCAAGCCAGGTGATTGGGCCTCTTACAGAGGGGCAGAGAAGAAACGTGGCAGTCGTGAATTCACTGTATAAGTTGTACCAATCGGTAACAAAGGTAATCTTTATTTTCTTTTAATTAAGCTTTTGACTTAATTTCAACTTCTTTCTTTTCACCTCAAATTTAGACAACAAGGAATTATTTAATTTTTGGCAAAAGAATACAGTGAAAACCTGATGACCATAAAGTAAGCTGCAGAATGAACTCTTCTTAACAGTTCTTGTTCCTGGCCTTTATCATTTGTCCCTTTTCTCTATATATTTGGTTTAAAACATATGAACTCTAGATCATCAGGCTTGGTTGGTATAATCAAGTTTATTGAGCAAATGATTTAAGAGTAAATCATACGTGTTTCATACCTATTAAAAAGCATAATTTCAGAGAACTCTTAATCCCTTCAACATGGAAAGGTTCCATCTTTGCACAAAGAAGGTGGGAAGGAGCTGCATTAAACGCAGTGAATTTGTTACAATCACTGATGACTCCTTGGAAGTAGAAAATATATATTCTTTTTGCTGTTGTTTTACTTAAATGTAATTTTTTAATGATGAACTTTAACTTGTTTGCCTTCGTATATTATTTCTAAGATGAACTGTATTTATAATTAACGGGAAAGCAACACTTTCAACCCAGTCCTTGAATTTGAATAGCTCATGTTTTCTCTCTATAAATTATTTCCAAACTATTTAGTAAGTAGAGAGGTAAATATTTAGAAGACCTGAAGGAAGCTAAAGGTTAGGGGATGCTCTTGAAAACATGACCTTTAATTTGAGTTTTAATATGCTTGATAGTATTTTTGAATAATTTTAAGTGACTACGTAAATTTTTAACAAGTCCTTTTGTCAATTAGGAGTTTCCAAAAATGTGTATGTCACACATTAAACAGAATATATTTTAAAGCATTAACAAGTAAACCTCAGAAAAGTAAGTAATGGAAGTAAATAAAAAGAATAAATGATGTATTTTCCATTCCCTTTCATTATTACTCTGATAATAGGGCTTCACAATCAATGAAAGTTTCTCTTTGTTTAGGCTGATTTAAATGCTTTTATTGATACTTTCGGAATCTTCATTATATTTGTATTGATTTGTAAACGTTTGACATTTGTATTTTAAAGACTTGTTGAAAATTATAGTCAGCCTGGAGAAAAGTGAATTTTTTAAAAGAAATATGTAAATACAGCTTTAGACTGACCTTTTCAAGTTAAAACTTTGTAATTAAAACCTATCTAAAGTGAATAAAGGAAAGTCAACTCTTAGAATTCTTAATGTTTTGATTATTTGAAGTATATACTATAATTGCTTTATATAGTATAATTGCTATATACAGGAAGTATATAGTATAACTGCTTTATACAGGAAAGTAGTTTTCAATCTATCTTAACTAAGAAATACTAATGAGTTTTTAAAACATGTATGAGATATAATCTAAAGTTATGATACTATTTTATGTGTCTGTGGAAACAGCTTTATCCTGTTATGACCAAAATTAGTATTTATAAAAATAAATGACTTAAAACTTTAACTGTATCAAACAAAACCTTGTTCTAGGTGGTTTCCAGTCAGAGCTCATTCCCACCAGCAGCTGAGCAAACTATAATCTCAGCCCTAAAGGTAAAAGAATTTAATCTTTGACTCTATAGATCAAAGTGGGTTTTAGAATTGTTTGGATGAGTGGGAGATGTCACATTTTAAAAATAATTCCAAATCCTCTACACATACCAAAAGTAGCTGCTGATAATTATCCTAAAGAGAAAGGATACATGTGTGTTTATATTTTCTAGAACTTAAAAATAGACCCTGTTGGTGTCCACAGATTGTGTTCTACTTATGAGAATTTTATCATAAGCAAGGGAAGCAAGATTCTTCAAGTATTCACTGTATCTTAGGGCAGTACAGCCTAGTATGATCCCAGTAAAGTGGTGATTCTCTATGAGGGTGATTTTCCCTAGGGAACATTTAACAAAGCTGGAGATGTTTTTGGTTGTCATGACTAGGAGTGGGGTGCTCTTAGCATCTAGTGCCAGGGATGCTGTTAAACATCTTGCAGTGCATAAGACAGCCCCCGACAAAAAGAAATTACTAGGCCCAAAATGTCAATAATGCCAAGGTTGAGAAACTCTAATGCGTATCTGTAAGATGTGAAATCAGGGTAAATTCCATTTTTTTTTTTTTTACATATTAACATAAATATACTCAGGAAGTTTAATAAAAAATAATGTTGGTATGAGATTCAGAGCCATATGTAGTTGACAGTGGATAACTCTTACAAAACAAGGATATCATTCATTTTAATGGTAGTAATAGCCTTCATTTAGCACCTGCTACTTGCCAGTCACATGCCATATATTGAAATGTTACAGCAACTGTTCAAGTTGTGTATTATTATCCCTATTTTACACAACTTAGAAATAATAACTTGCTCAAAGTCCTGATGCTGGTAAACTCAGACCTCACTGACTCAAAAGAGTTATGTCTACTACACCTCGCCATCATCATTCATTGGCTTACTAAATATTTTTTTGGTATTTACTAAGTAAGTAATACTGTATAGCAGACTCTGGGGCCAAACTCCCTGTATATGAATGCCATCTCAGCTATTTAACTAGCTGTAGGACCTCAGACAAGTTAAATAGTTTTCTCTTGCCTTAGTTTCTACATCTGTAAAGTGGTACAATATAACTGTACAAAGGTAATAGGTGTCAACAGTTGGATGGATTTAGATCACCTGGGTAGAGTTAAAAGAGAGGGAGACAGAGACAGACACTACCAGTGAACTCCAAGGAGAAATACTTTTATTTAGAGAGTAAAGAAGCTACAGAGAAACAACAGTGAGTGTGAGGAAGAAGCTTGGGAGGGGATGATTTCACAAATCATAAAGGAGAAGGGAACTTCTGAGGTGACATGGATGGGGATTTAACAGGCCCCCAAAACTTAAGGACACCAAATTCATATGGGAGGGTAGGAGAAGACAAGTCTGTTTTCCCCCCAGCACAGTGAAAGCACACTTGGATGTTTTCTGTATTCTCTTCTTTTCCCCCAATATGCTCGTCTCATTGTGATGAAATATTATTCAAGCTGCCATCATAAAATAATTGTTTTCATTAAAAGTTCTCTAAGTTATTGATGATCAGAAAAATATCAAAAATCAGGCCAATATGATAAACCAAAAGGTCTTAGCATTCTTGTTTCCAGGCAGGGAATTTACATAGTCTCCTTTTCTGTAGTTCCACATTTTTTCCTTCTCTTCTAGCAGTAGCTGTCGAACATATTTTGATCACTACCCAAGATAAGAAATAGATTTTAGGGGTGCCTTGGTGGCTCAGTCGTTGAGCGTCTGCCTTTGGCTCGGGTCATGATCCCCGAAGTCACGGGATCAAGTCCCGCTTCAGGCTCCCTGCTCAGCGTGGAATCTGCTTCTCCCTCTGACCCTCTCACCCCGCTTGTGTTCTCTCTCTCTCAAATACATAAATAAAAATCTAAAAAAAAAAAATAGGTTTTACTTTGTGACCCCATACACAATACATAAGCATTTATAAATATATACACACACATAATTGTATATATATAGAATATACATCTATATGTATTTATGTAATTGAAACAAAGCTTTCACAGCACAATATTTTTCCTTATTTTGTGTGATGCATGCTTATATTTTCAATACTCATCTATTACTTTTTTTTGAAAGACTTTATTTGAGAGAGAGCACATGCATGCAGGGTGGTGGGGTGCTAGGCAGAGGGAGAAGGAGAGAGAGAATCTTAAGCAGGCTCCACACCCAGCACGGAGCCTGACAGGGGGCTCAATCTCACCATCCTGAGATGATGACCTGAGCTGAAATCAAGAGTCGGCCACTTAACCGACTGAGCCACTCAGGCACCCCCACTCATCTATTATTTTTAAAACATTCTGATAGTGATTGACTAAATTGATTTTTTGCCCCTAATGATCACAGCTCATAGTTTGAGAAAGTTCAGTCTGTGGGTTAAGACAGAGTGCGTACACTTTGCCTGATAATAAAAGTCTCCTGACAAATTAAAAATAGAAATTCTTCGGGGATGCCTGGGTGGCTCAGTCAGTTAAGCATCAACTCTTGATTTCAGCTCAGGTCATAATCTCAGGGTTGTGGGATTGAGTGCCACGTTGGGCTCAGCACAGAGTCTGCTTAAGATCTCTCCCTCTCCCTCCCCCCCTGCACTTGCTCTCTCTCTCTCAAATAATAAAATCTTATAAAAAAAAAAAAAAGAAATTCTTCTCATTCCTCTTGTTAGTCACTTGGGCTGGGAGTTGAGGCTAGTGCAGAGAAAAGGGCCCTCATCTTGGGCTACAGCCCTCACTCTTGGGTTTGCTCACTAGAGCCAGGGCTTCGTGTAGTTGGGTACTGCGGTTGCTGAGGCATCACCATTTTGCCCTTGAGAACTGGTTGGAAGAAGACTAGCAGTTGGTTTTAGGCTCCTCTGCAGTGGCCCTGACAATTAGAGACCTAATTGCTTATGTTAACAGAACGCAGTGAAACAGTTTTGACCTTTTTAAGTTAAATCATATAAAAACCGTGATGACATATTAAGTAAAAAACAAAACCCTCTGACTTAGAGAAAAAAGAGAACTTTGAATTTTAAAATTGTAGGAGACTTAATTCATTACTTTGACTTAGGGGTAGAATGTTAGCATGTAGAAGTGATTGCAGCCAAGAACCAAAAATCTATATGCTTTTATTATAGATAAAGAAGATAGAGATAGAGAAGATTTTTTTAAAGATTTATTTATTTGAGAGAGAGCAGGGGGAGGGGCAGAAGGGAGACTCTCAAGTAGACTCCCCACTGAGCATGGAGCGAGATGCAGGGCTTGATCCAATGACTATGAGATGGTGACCTGAGCCGAAGGCAGACCCTTAACCCACTGAGCCACCCAGGCACCCCTTAATAGAGAAGATATTAAATATATGTTTCACTTACTAAAAATATAGGTAAGGATACATAACAGTCTTTTCTTCTCTACCTTGTTGAGATTTTATCCAGAATTAAATGTTATTTTAGGCTTGAGGTTTAACATCTCATAGTTATCTACTATGTCATGGATGGCATAATTAATATTAATTTAGAGTCATTTCATTATACCCACCTCAGCTGTAAGTAACATTTAAACACCTTGGCCCAGTAATTCTGATCCATTTATTACTGAGATTGTTTTATACAGGTGGAGATTGTATTGCTAGGTTTTTATATGACAATTTTTCATTTCTCCCTTATTGTGTGGGTTTATGTTCTATATGAGAGAATAATTCAGATTGCTGAGGCTTCTATATTTTTGTAATCTTAGCTATTTTAGGTAAATCTTTGGATAATGTATGGCACACTTCCCTGCTTTGTAAAGAGCTTGTGAAATAGAATCTAGTCTCCTTTCTTTGTTCTCTCTAGTAGTCCTTAATCCTCTACCATTCCTGTTTGTGTTTCCCCTTAAATGGGAAGCCTTACCCAGCCAGAATGAACATTTTCTGTGTAAACTATCATATTGTATGCAAGTTAGATGCCTGTTTTTCCCCATCTTGTTTCACTGGCTAGGACCTCTAGTATAAGTCTAGAACTCGTGAGAGTGGATGTTGGTGAATGCTTTCCTGACTTCGGGGAAAGTATTCCATCTGTATCCTTCTATTTTAAGTATGATGTTAGATGGCCTTTATCAGATTAAATAAGTTCCTTTCTATTCCTCGTTTACTGACACTTCTTTTTTATTATAAATGGTATTTCATCAAATAGTTTTTTTCTCTATTGAAATGATCAAACAGTTTTACTCCTTTATTCTGTTAATAAAATACAGAAGTTTATTTTTACATGTCAAACCCACCTTGGTTATGATGTATTAACCTTTTTATGTATTCCTGGATTTGATCTACTTAATTTTTGTTGAAGATGTTTGCATCTATAGTCATAAGGGATACTGGTATATAGTTTTTCTTGTAATTTCTTTGTCTGATTTTGGTATCAAGTTATTACTGCTCTCATTAATTAGGTTTGGAAGTATTTCCTCCTGTTCTGTTTTCCAAAAGAACTTATATTGTTTTCTTTGTTGCATGCTTAGTAGAATTCACCAGTGAAGCCATCGGGGCCTGTGGTTTTCTTTGTAGGAAGTTTATACCTACAGATTCGATTTGGTTAGTAGGTAAAAGGCTATTCAAGTTATCTGTTTCTTTTTGAATGAGCTTTGTATTTTGTGAATTTCCAGGTATTTGTCTATTCATCAAAGTTACCTGATTTGTCAGAATAATGTTGTACATAATATTCTCTTACTAACGTTTAATGTCTTTAGGACCCATAGTGATAACCTCTTTTTAATTGTTTCTATTGGTGTTTGTGTTCTCTTTTTTTTCTTCAGTTTAGCTATGGATTTATCAGCTTTGTTGATCTTTTCAGAGAGCCAACTTTTGAATTTATTGATTTTCTCTATTGTCTTTTTTTTCCCCATGAATTTCTGCTTTTGTCTTTTTTATTTCCTTCTACTTTGGATTTTCTTTGCCTTTTTTTAAATATACATTATACCATTGATTTTTAGACCTTTTCCCTCCCAAAATAAACTTAAGTTGTAAATTTCACTCTAAGCAGTTCAATTTTGATATGTTATGCTTTTTATCTTCATTCAGTTTAAAATATTTTCTAGTTTCCTTCGCAATTTCTTCTTTGATTCATGGGTTATTTAGAAGTGTTTTTTGTTTTTTTTTTAATTTCCAATTACTTGTGATTTCCTAGATGTCTTATTGATTTTTCAGTTTAATCTTGTTATCATCAGAAAACATACTCTGTATTATTCCAGTTATTTAAATTTATTGAGTCTAGTTTTATGTGGTCTGTCTTGGTGAATGAACCATGTATGCTAAACGTGTAATCTACAATTGTTGAGTGTAGTGTTCTATAAATATCAGTTAGGTCAAGGTAGTGGTAATGTGTTTAGTGATGATGTATTTGGATCTTCCCTGTCTCTACTGATATTTTATATAGTCATTCTATCAATTGCTAAAAGACAGAAGTTACAATTTTCTACCATGATTGTGGACCTTTTAAGTCTGTTAATTCTTGCCTCGATTTTGAAGCTATTTACTAGTTCTGTTGAAGCTATGTTACATTTGTATTTATTATTGTTACACCTTCCTGATGAACTGATGCTTTCATCATTTTGAAATACCCCTCTTTAGCTTTGTTAATACTTAGTGTAATGCATTTTGTTTTATCTGATATTAACTTAGCTACTTCAGCCTTTTTCTGCTCAATGTTTACATGGTATATCTTTTGTCCATTTACTTTCAACTCCTCTGTGTCTTTAAAGTATATCTCCTATAGAGAGTAAATGGTTGTCTTTTTGTCTGTTCTGATAATCTCTACCTTTTAATTGGAGTGTTTAGTCCAGTGACATTATGTAATTATTAATAAGGTTTTATTTAGGTGTATGGTTTTATCTGTTTTTTGTTTATCCCATTTGGTTTGGTTATTTATTTATTTATTTATTTTTGCTTTCCTCTTTTCCCCCCTTTTCTGTCTTTTTTTGGATTCTTTGAAATTTTTTGAATTGCATTTTAATTTATTTATTAGATTTTTCATGTGATTTTTTTTAGGGGTTCTTCTGTGGATTACCATATACATCCTTAAGTTTCCATAATCTTCATAGAGTTAATATTGTGCCATGTTATATAAAATATAGAAACCTCATACTTATAGAAGTACATTTACATCTGCATGCATCTAGTGTAATTTTTTTTAGTTTAAAATATCCATTTGGTCCTCTTTTACACTTTCACTCTGCTGAGGTTTCCTATTATTTATTGTAAGCATTTCTTTTTTTTACCTCACTGAGGTTCTTGCCTAATAATCGTAGAGTCTGGATCATCTCAGGGTTGGCAGCTGTTGATCTTTTCCCTTGAAAACTGACATTTCCAAGCTTTTTGTTATATAGTAATTTTTAATATATCCTGGACATTGTGGGAATGTTATGTTGTGTAGACTCAGTATTTTTTTACATTGCTCCTGAGTGTTGATGGTATTTCTTTAGCGATTAATCAGCCTGATTAGACTCTAATTGTACACTGTCATACCTGCAGCTGGCCGTGCCTCAGACCTCAGTTCACTTCTCAAGAGTGGTTGCCAGCCACTTTGTGTTTGCTTTGCACAGGCATGGTTGATGAGTCAGCTGAGGAGTAGTGCTGAGTTTAAATATAGAATTAGGCATTCTTCTTTGGCTCTGTCCTTTCTGAAGTTCCCCTCTCACTCTCTGGCAGCCCAGGGCTCCTTTCTGTTGTTCCCTTGGCCTAAAAGACTGCTGGATTTGTTTTGTTTTTCTCTCAGAGATTTAGCCACCCTGCCTTGCCACCACCATGACCATAGGCACTCTCAGGGCAAAGTCACAGAAAATGAAGAACTCACTTTCTTCTGTTGCTTGGTCTAGACTTCCACAGCCCTCTAAAACTACCTGCTTTTTTCCCATCTCTAGAGCCCCCCGGTATGTTGTTTATTTGTCCCATTTGTAGGAGGGTCTGTAGTTAGATACTCATTCCTTCATATCAGAGTAGAAAACTTGCTCTTCTTTCTTGAAATCTTGTCCATTTGTTTCCACCATACTCTAAGGTCTTTTCCTGCTTCTCTGCTGCAAGTGGGCAAAGTGGAACCCAAAAGCACATCAGAGTCACATACACCTAGGAAATCCCAGCCCATCTGCTTGCTCACTTAAGGACAGTGTCCTTCACTTCACTTTAGTTTCCCCATCTGAACTTAGAGATTTTAATATTCTTAGAGGAAGGAATAATTGAATTTTAAGTGGAATTATAATATGTGAGGCACATAGCACAGTACCCAGCATATAATATATACTAAATAAAAATCTTACCCCTCTTAATCCTTTAAGGGCTCCTCCTCTTCTGAATGACTTCAAAATGGCATTTAGCCTTACTCTACAAACCATCATCTGGGATCTCACTGACTCTTTTGGCTTCATCTTCCCTCTTAAAAGCCAAAGACTACCAAATCTAGTCAAAATGTGTCAAGAACTACAAATGTAAATATTTCAGTACCTCCTTTATAGCCCATGTGGATTTCGCATAAGCCCTTCAAGAAACTCATGTCCAAATCTGAACTCATCATTTTCTCTCTCCATCCCCAAATCAACCTGCTTCTTCTGCATTTAGACATTCAGTTAATAATATCACCAAATCATGAAAGAAAAAAAAATCTAAGTGTATCATAAAATCTTTCTGTTCCATATTTCTCAAATGTAATTACCAAGTCCTGCTGTTCTCCTTTTACAGTATCTCCAACCTGTCTCCTCATATCTGTTCCTACTGCCTCTGATTTGGTTTGGGCGCTCATCATTTTGCTTTGAAGCTTTTGGTCTGTTTACCCAGTCTACCATCCAACATGATGTTTCCCAAATTCAAATCTTTATATTTTTTCATTGCTTAAAACCCATCATTGGTTTCCCATTCCCTTCAGAGTAAATTCCGAACTCCTAGCAGCCTACACAGAGTACATCTGCTGCATCTCCATTCCACATGGGCAGGTACCTCACACTCTGTATGGAATGCTTTGCCATCGAAGGCTTCAGCTTTCCCAGGCAGCTATGACTTTAACATATGCCCTCTCAGCCCCATCTTTCCTCACTTGGTTCTTACTGTCTGTCCTTTGAAATTCAATTTAGGCTGTGCCTTTTGTTTTCCAGATCATCTCAGTGTAAGGGAGGTTTCTCCCATGATCCCATAGCGCCCCGTAGCGCATTGATGTGACTATAAGTTGTTATCTCCTGTCACTGAATTGGGAACTCCTGAGGGCAAACTGTATGCTGTTGCTCAGGCATCGTTCACTCTCTCTCCTTGCCTCCCTCTCTCTCTCAATCCCCACAGATAGTATGTTTACTTTTATCAGAGTCTAAGGGCTAGAGATGACATTTAGGAATTTAATGAATAAGGGTCCTATTTAACCTTTCCTGATTGATTTCTATCATTCGTATGAGCCAAATGCCATCCATCGTCATTATATGTAATCATCATTGAAACATATATATTTAAATTTTAGATTTTAAGTGTGTACTGAGGCCCAGTCAATATTTTCACTCTAAAAACCCATAACTTAGGCAAAGCAGTCTTATATAACCTAACCAATGGTTATACTTCACTGTCAAACAACTCTCACCTTTAGCACTATTGACATTTGGGGTAGTTCTTTGTTGTGGGAGATTGTCCTGTGCATTGTAGGTTGTGTAGCAGCATCCCTGTCCTCTACCCACTAGAAGCCAGTAGCAAATGCCCATGCCAGAGGCTCTGGTACTGGGTATTTGTGACAAAAATTGGGAAAGGAAAGATGGTGCCAAGTACCAAAAGTATTCCTACTAAATAGGAACTTAATCCATGAAATGCCTAATTCTTCTGCCCTGTAAGAATCACCAGCATATTTATTATATTCACTCTGCTTAAAACCATACGGTGTTGTTCCAGTTGTGAAGAATGACTTTTGGTCTTGCCTCACTCTTTTCAGAAACTTTACAAAATGTGTTTATTTGATCTTTGTAAGTGGCACTGCTCCTCTCTCCTCTTTCTCCAGGAGCTCATTTGACCAAGAAACTTCTTGAAAATTTGAGAGAAGTGGGGAGTTGAAATTTGCAGTGCCATGTTTCACATATTGTCAGCTTTAAAGATCATTCCCAACAGCAGCTGGGAGAGGAACAGACTTCTGTTGAGTTATTACAGTTCAAAAACTGTATATAGTCGGGATTTGATATAAAAATTTTAGTCAGAATGCTTCTGCCATCTTGGATTTCTTTGTGTTGGTCTTTAATTTTGCCTGCCCTTCCTTTTTCTTTTTAGACAATCCATGCTCTTATGGGAAGCGCTGTACAGCCCTTGCTGACTTCAGTGGGAGATGCCATAGAGGCCATAATCATCACTATGCATCAAGAAGATTTTTCTGGGTAAGCACTTTCAACCATGGTTTTCAGGAGTCTTTACTGCATTTGTTTTTCATTTACCCACCCCCACCCTTCCTCCCTAAGTCTGTTTCCACCTAGGCCTTGTGCCTCTTGTGACCGGTTTGGCCTCCAGCCTCATACTACTTTATCCATTGTGAGCGCCATTAGCTGATTAAAATTTTTCAGTTCTTGTTTTCGTCATTTCTCTCCTGTCATTGAAACAGAATCATTAACATTTGCGGGACTCAGCTTGGCACTGCAGGACTTCTGGTAGTTGGTACCATCTTCTCTTTTCAAGCTGATCTTGATCCTTCTCTCTCACAAATACCCTGTACTTGAGCCTCTGGCATAGGCATGTTATTTCTTATATAAGATGTCCCAGCTCTGCCACGATGCTAGTCTGAATCTTGCTCTGGCCTTGAAGGCATGCTGCATCCCAACCCCCTACAAGAATCATTTTCCATTCTCAGAGTTTTGTGGCAATCCAATCTTGCCGTGTCACACCTAGCCTAATCGACACTTCGGGAGTATTCCACAGCTGTTTACAAGAGTACTGCTTATCTGGATCATATGTATCTTGAGAATAAAAATCATAGGTCCTAACCCAGTGTTCACTGGATTGTTTTTAAGGAGAGTAAAATAGTTTGAGCTCCATGTATTAGGACATTATTTGTAGAGAATTTGGAATAGTTATTTGCACGTGCTTAGAGTGATTTTTTTTTTAAACTTAACCACACTGTAGAGCTAAACATTCAAATATTAATACATAGATAATGTGTTTTATATTCATAGTTCATAGTTACTATTTTTGAATTTTCTTATTTATATTATGTTGTTTAAATATCTACTTTGTTAAATGTCCAGGCACTAGTCTAGCTGTTTGTAGAAAATTGTGTGAACTTTACATTGTCCTTCAATTTTTCAAATCACTTATTTCATTCACAAAATATCTTTTGAAGGGTAAAAAGGTCACTCTCTTTTTAATAATGGAATGAAGCACAGAGGGTAGGTGGATTATACACAAAATGCTATAATATTTGGAGACAGGAATACAAAATTGCTGATCTAGCAGTATTTGGAAGGAAATGAATTTTGTTCAAAAGTGATATGAAATGTCCCAGTTAGACCAATCCTCGATGCCTCTGAAAAGGAAGCAGAAAGTGAAGGCTCATTCTGTAAGAGTGCTCAGCTGCTTACATCAGCAACTGAATTGGTGAACCTCAGCTAGTGCCTGTAGCCAGTGGCTTGGACATGAAAAGTTGGTCTCCCTAGTAGGTATGTCCTTACTAGTTTGCTTAAATACTAGGGAGCTGGATTACCACTCGTAGGTTGCCACGAGTAGGAAGCATTATTTTAAGGTGTATAACACTGCCCTTAATTTTTTCCCCGAATGGCTTTTAATAGTCCCATTTCTGCTCTCTGTCTATATACAGCAGACATTTGAGATTCCACTCGGGGTCGTTTTCCGTCTGTGCCGGTAGAGGAGTGTGGGTCTCTGTTGCTTTATGTTCTATTTAGAATTATTACCCCAGGGCAGTAATCTTCTCACTTTCTAGAACTTTTTACTAGTAATTACTAGTAATTCTGTCATTTCATTTCACATATGAAATGTTTGGCTTGAATGAAATATAAGGTGAAGTTAGATGAAACTATTTAAGAAGTAGGAATCACTTTTACAGTAGGGCCAGCCCCCAGGGGTTACACTCAGAAAAATAATAGTGAACACCTGCCCTTGGAAGCCCTCTATATTTATTTTAGGTAAAGGGAATAAAGCAGGTTTATCTTGTCAGCCAGCCTTATATGGAGTGTGGTTACAGAATCCCTCTGCTACTTAAAAAGTAATGTTCAACAGAGTTTCCTGGTATTTGAAATGTATTTAATAGGACCAGTGTTTCTCTCCAAATTAGATAAAGCTCAAAATATAAATGTCTGATTGACATAGTACATTGATTGAAATTCTCTGATTTAATGTAAAATGACTCCTCTCTGATTATAGCTTTGAATGGGAGAGGGAAGGCAGTAAAAGTAGGAAGACCCTAGATCCTGAAGTGATGGATGTGCACCTCAGCCACAGGGAGAGTGCACAACACACCCCAAAAAGATAGGGGACCTGAAGATGGTCATCTACCATTTCTCAGGTGTGCATCCCGTTCGTCCTTCTACCTTCAGCTTGCACACGCAGGCTCTCATTATAAAGACCCTTCAATTTGGAGCGCCTGGGTGGCTCAGTCAGTTAAGTGTCTGCCTTTGGCTCAGGTCATGATCCCAGGGTCCTGGGATCGAACCCTGCATTGGGCTCCTTGCTCCGCAGGAAGCCTGTTTCTCCCTCTCCCTCCCCCACTCCCCCTGCGTGTGTTCCCTCTCTCGATGTCTCTCTCTCTAATAAATAAATAAAATATTTAAAAAAAAAAAAAAGAGAGGGAACACAAGCAGGGGCAGAGAGAGAGGGAGAAGCAGGCTTCCCGCTGAGCAGGGAGCCCAATGCGGGGCTCGATCTCAGGACGCTGGGATCATGACCTGAGCCGAAGGCAGACGCTTAACGACTGAGCCACCCAGGCGCCCCTTGTGTTCCCTCTCTTGCTGTGTCTCTCTCTGTCAAATAAATAAAATCTTAAAAAAAAAAAAAATTAGCGTTTAAAGACCCTTCAGTTTCTGCACAGCTTACTGTTGCACTTGATCAGTTGAAAATCTCTTACTAAAAGCTTCGGCATAATCGGGAAAACTGCGCTTTAGTGGTGGCCAAGCAAATTTCATATTCTAATAAATTTAAATCAAGCTTTTAATCCACACTAAGAATTGATAATACCTATTTCAAAATTTTGTCTGATGGATTATTTTACTTACATTGACACGTGCTTGGAACTGGTTTTAGTATATTATTTTCTAATCCTCATGGAAATCATTTCAACTGACCAGATGAAAATTCTTGAAACACTCCTCCAGAGTAGTACAGGGTAACAACAGTGCTTTTGATAAAGCGTGAGAAAACATGAAAGAGATTGGTACCTTTTTTTTTTCCCAGCCTCGTCTGTTGAACTGAACAAAGATAGGCTGTGCAATGGTCTGAATCTGGCACAGCCAAACCCACATAAGATTGCCGTCATTGACTGAGGCTGTATCAAGCAGCACTCCACTGTGATACTGAAGACAGCAGTGGTCCATCATGCTCCCCCTCGATGGCCTTGCCTTAGTTAGGACATTCTTTTTTACACCTGAACAAAATCTCTCCCTTCTGGAACTTAAAACTGGTTTCTCTATTTCTAGCTGCTGCTGGAAATAGAAGACCTTTGGTTAACATCCTCTGATGATAAGCATTCATTGCTGTCTTTGAAAATAATTAAGTTCACCTCATTCTCTTGCTCTAGGCATTTGAGTCATATCTGTTGTTCTTTAGAACATTGCCACTTTTTCTACGTCATTCTCAGAATATGGAAACACTCATTTTTTTGAAGACGATTCAGCACTTTGTAGCCAATGATCTCATTGGTTAGCTAATTAATATCAGGTGATTTCTAATTTTGGTATAACTTCTTTCCTATAAATATTTCACATTCTTTTAATATATCCTTAAAGAGCAATTATAAACACTTATAAATTATAAATAGTATTTCATGGAGCATCAGCTGGCATCATCTGTTGATCCAAATTAAAGCCTTTGCAAACCTCATCATCTGGGAGGAAAAAATTGCATACCATGTGTATTGTTACATAACCAGTTCCACAGGCAGAAATCTACTATTGGCCTGATCAGATTAAATAGCACAGGAGCAGAAATATCTTTGCCAGGAATTTGTTTGGGGAAGGGAGTGTTTTCTGCCCTTACAAAGTGTAAAATGCTATTTCAGGCTTCATTATTGATTTATTCACTAACCAGGCAAAACATATGAGTGGATGGAGATTTGTAAAGCTGAGAAGAACCTTGAGAGGTCAGAGAGTACATAAGGCACTGTGTGAATCACCCGAGACAGATGGTTATCCGTTTCATTCTTAATAATCTCTAGGTAAATGGATTCTAAGATTTCTTCAGTAATCTTTCTAGCATCTTTAAACAGTCTTTATAATTTATACATTGTTTTATGCTCCTTAACTCTTAGTAAAAATAAGCAATACCTTTTTTACCACTACGGGAAAAAATTGCTTAGGATTGAAATAGCAGGTGGGGGAGGGGGGCAAAAGTGGAATAGTGGCTGTTAGTACATTGGCTGTTTTTCCCTTTTGCAGGTCACTATCCAGCTCAGGAAAGCCTGATGGTCCTTGTTCTCTGTACATGAAGGAGCTTCAGGGTTTCATTGCCAGAGTTATGAGTGACTACTTTAAACACTTTGAATGCTTGGATTTTGTCTTTGACAACACTGAAGCTATCGCCCAAAGAGCAATTGAACTTTTTATTCGCAATGCCAGTCTCATAAGACCTCTTGGTGAAGGTGGGAAAGTACGACTTGCTGCTGATTTTGCTCAGGTAAATTGATGCATCGCTGCCAAGGGGGAAATGTTTCAGCCTCAGTATTATCTGTTCATTGAAAGACTAAGTATGTATTCTTTAGTGTTTTAAAGAGTTGAAGCAGAAAGAAAAATAAATTCATTTAAACTGAATTGGTAAGAAAAAGAAAAGAATTAAAAGAGACTTTCATACCAGATTTTTTTCTTTGTATTTAATAAATGAATCATCACTCATCTTTGAGATTTCAGGGTTAAGGTGAAGTAGCTCATTCCATAGTACAGAAATATATCTCACTTTTACATAATGTAGGGCTTTCTTACTATTTTATTATCCCATGAGGTTAGTATGGAGAAGAGTGATTGATTGTGCTGGGAAATAATATAGGCAATGACATTTCCTCCAAATACTGTAAAGGGGCTGTCTGTTGTTATGTAAAGGGTAAGAACTCTCAGTGCATCTGTAATCCTCTAGTGGCCAGCTCAGTGTTCCAGGACAATGTTCTCCATTTAGATGCACAGTGGGCCACGTACAATAGAGGGTCTGATTATTTAGTCTCCCTCTATTGAACAGAGTACCTTTCTTGTGTATGGCCAGCCTTGAAATAGTTCCAGGCTCTCAAACCATGATGACCTCTTACAGGAAAGGATTTTTTCCCTTTTTCCTAGACAGATTTTTTTTGAAGCCTTCCAGAAGTATTAGAGGCAAAGAAGAAACACCTCAAACTTACACCTGAATGAAAAGTTTTCCAAACAGATCACTCGTTTATATACCATGTCAAAGGTGGACTCATTTTTTATGCTTTTCAGAGCTGTTAACTTTACTAGTCTAAGAGTTATTCAGATGGATTATTCATAATTTGCCAGATCCTGCCAGCTAATAAAGATAGTCAAATTTAATGTCCTTATTTATCCCTGTGTGTATCTGGGAGCAAGTCTGGGTTCATTATTCCCACACCAAGGAGAAGATGTGGGAGACTCCTTGAACCGGGGGTGGTTGTCAGACTCATACCTGATAGAGGTCCAGAGGGAATAGGTACATTATCTAATGTTTCAAGAGCCAGGCTCTTTGCATATTAATTGGCCTAGAATTAGTCATTTTCATCCCCAAATGATATGCCTGAGGCCACTAGACCATAGTAAAGAGCCTTCCTTTGGGAAATATGCCTTAAGTAGCCTAGACATAAAAATAGGAACTAAATGTTGCTCCTTTGACCTTTCCCATTTTCAGAAGCTTCCTTCTCATGCCCTTGTACATTGTACTTTGTTGCTACAGGTAAACTTCAGCTTAAAGAGGATTGTATATAAACAGTGTGTTACCCGTCCCTTACTGGGGTCACAGGCTGCTCGTGGAACTGAAAACACCAGGACGCACCAAGTCCTGCTCTTGTGTGTTAAAAACACTGTGGGCTCTACTGAAATGAGCGTCTGTTCTCTTTTTCCCCCTTTCCTCCTGAATTTTGTTTTTCTTTTCCTCTCCTCTTCCCTCCCCTGGCCTCCCTCCCCCACTAGTTTATTTGCATTCTGCTCCAGCTGGTTCTTGAGTCACTTTCCTGGAGGCAGCACTTCAAGTCCGATTAGAGTGGCAGTGAGCGGGAGATGGCCAAAACGAGAGCGCCGGCGCGCGCCAAGCAGGCTGTTCGTTCCGCGTTTTCTTTTAATGATCTGTTCCCTTATAACTCTTGAGAGATGGAAGGCATTGTCCTGTAACCCGTGCTACCACAGCCAGCACTGCTCAAAATGCAAAGCCCCCAGCAGCAGGTTAAGCTCCCCCCACCCCCCCACCCCGAAACTGCATTATTCAGACTTTCACTTGGCATCTCTTCTTTCTCGTGTTGCCCAATCAGCCAAACCTTTTCTCGGGTCCCTTCCCGTAAGATGAATGGAACTCATTAGTCCTTGTTAGTAACTTACTCTCCAGGGCATCCTGTTTTCCATTTCTTCAATAGAGAAACTGCAGCATTTACTCGGGGCAAATTGCGCCGTGCAGCGACGACGACACTGCGGTGCGGGTGGTGCTGACCCCTTTGTCCCCTCCCAGACAGCCTGTCCCAGTGTCACAGCATCCTGCCCCTCACCTTGCAGCCAGTTCCACACCCTGTGGCTTGTGGGCACAGGAGAGACGGGGAAGCGCCGGCACATTTGGGACCAGTAGCTTTGGCAACAGGATCCAGCTACTCCCCCCGCCCCATATTTAAGAAAACGACAGTGAACTGGGGATTTTGTTTAATTTGCCACACCTGCAGTCACATGACGCAGCCCCTTTGCTTTCAGGACTGTGCTTGGTTGGAGTATTTTCCTGGTGAGTCAAAAACACTTAGGTATTACCCTGACCTAGTTCGTATTCATGACAGGCATCGCCTGGGGTCTAGAAAGCCTTCCCACTGCCTCATTATTGAAAGTCCTATCAGTTTGTATTCAAAATGAAACAAAGCCAGCGAGGCCACTGGAATCAACACACAAACCTCTCTGGGTTTTAAAAGTGTTCCTGTGATAAAATGTGCCTGCTTATTCTGGCATAAATAGCAGAAAGAGAAAGAGCTCAGGAAGAGACCCAGAGAGTAGGTTTGGGATTGCTGAATATTTGTCATTCGGTCCAGTTGCAAAGGCAGACAATGATAGATTTTAAAGATTTCTTCAGGAACCCTAACTTGTCCCTCCTGGCACTGTTGCACAGGTGAGAGAGAAAACAGTTGCTGGGTGCCATCTGGAGGGTTCATGGTGAGGGAAGTACCCGACATACAGCCTCCTTAGGAATCAGGTCATGGGCATGAGGTGGTTTCCTACAGGTAATTAATTTCCTACTGTGACCACATGCTCTCTATGTCTACACTCCACACAGCAGTTCTAAAACACTCAGCTTGATCAAGGCCACTGGGGTCTGCTGACTCACAGCCTCTCGGGGGATTTGTCCACACTGCCCTCTGAAGCACACACTTCCCTCCGCCCCTCAATTTCATTTCTTCCCCAAGGGAAAGGATGGCTCGTGGAGCTGGCATTAAATTACTGATTCAGTGGTACTCCTAGCAATTTCTATTTATAGGTCTTCCGGTGCCCTTTAAATATACATGTATCTGTATTTCACTTTGCCCGAATGTATACATTTAGAAAAGAAAACGAAATAATGAAGATTTTCATTGCAATTGCCTTTTCTCCTGAACAGTGTCAGGGCCGGAGAGCCAGAGGAGTATCCAGAGATGCCCCGCAGCTAACCAAATGTCTGCGGTGGGGCCCGGACCGCTCTGTAATTAGTTCCCTGTGCCTGCAGCTGACCACTTGCTCCCTGCAAACCAGGAGTGGGAGAGAGGCGTTTGTACCTGCCATTTGTGTATCCACAGCTAGGTGCAGAGTCACCTCCTCCAAAAGGAACACTCCTGCCCTTTGGAAACATGGCCTTTATTGTTTCATAGAATTCTGGCAGAAGAAAATGGTTTTCAGTATGCTGGAGGTCCTTTATTTATTTTGGAATTGTACTCTAGTATAGAAATCTCCAGTATCATCATAGATTACACAGCAGTTCAAGGTCATATTCTCTCATGTTGTAATTTTTTAACATTCCATGCTGCTCAAGTGCTAAGGCAAAGGTTTTTTGGTTTAATCTTTGAAGATGGAGAATCTACTAGGGTAATTGAAAAAAATGTCAAAAGTATTTCATGAAAACACCTTATGTAATTTCAGTTTGTGAAACCGTAACACACACACACACACACACACACACACACATATACATACACACACACATGATTGGAATTACCAAATCAGGAATACATGATAATAACATTTTTACTTTTGTGCTCAGTGTAAAATAAATGCCACAGTCTGAATAAAACCAGCAACTTCATCAGGTGAAGAAACCAAAGAGGTCCCAAGGACCCACTGTCTTGATATGGGAACACTGACTTCAAGCTGCTCTGTTTTGCTTTGTTGGCAAGAATCCTGACTTTTTTGCCTCAGATTTTTCTCTTCTTATTTACTTAATCTTCTCTATTTTAGAGTTTTCTAACCATGTTAAGGTTTCCCTCTAGGACATAGAAGACATACTCTGTGTCTTCTATATGTTAGGGGAGAAATTCACTGGTTCCACCTAGAAATTCCACCAGTTACCCTCAAGACCATCTCAAGGAAGCTACCCACCAGGTCTCCCATGACAGCTCGTACGCTTGGTAGCACACTTCTAAGTTTGCTTAATAATAATCAGGTGTGGGGGCTCCTGGGTAGCTCAGTGTCTGCCCTCCGCCCAGGGCATGATCCCGGGATCCTGAGATGGAGCCCTGCTTCCTGCTTAGCAGGGAGTTTGCTTCTTCCTCTCGCTATCTCTGTCTCTCAAATAAATAAAATCTTTAAAAAATAATAATCATCAGATGTGTATATACATGTATGTATATGTGTATGTGTGTGTATAGACCCACATACCTTTTTTTATTTTGTTCAATAGTAACTATATTGTTTAAATAAACAGATATCCCCTTCTTCACGAAATTTGAAAGAGCTCCCTAAAGGCAGGACAGTCTGACTAATTTATCTTCTCATCCCCATGTGTAACTCGGTGCCTGGCAATTAATAGGGAGTCAGAAATGTTTGTCAAATGAGTGATTGTTTAGGTCTCCGCAGTTTCCCAGGGGCAGATTTGAGCAGTATTTTAGAAGGATGACCAACAAGACAGAAGCCCCACTTTCCATTCCTTTGTTTTTCTTGAAGAAAAATGCTTCATTACTTTTTTTCAGAGATTTTCTAAGCTATTCTGTATCAGGGTCCTTTTGATAGCAAGAGCAGAGAAACGGTTTGTCATCTGAGTCCCCCGTCTGTGAAAACTTTGCACTCGCTAGAACAGAGACCCTAAATCTCCATTTAATGACGAGTAAAATTTCCAGCCAAAGAAGGAGAATAAAGAGCAGTGAAACCAACAGTTCTTGAGTCAGGAAGAGAATTAATTGGCTAATAATGTGAAAGGGAGAAAGTTTAAAAAATACTGCTAATAATTGCCAACATGGAACAAGCACTTGCTAGGTACCACGCGAATATTGCTTTGTGAAATTATTTGGTTTCTATAATTCTGTGAGCTAGCACTATCTCCATTTGACAGACAAGGAGCCTGGAGCTTACGGAAGTGAAGTCCAGGGCCGCACAACTAGTCGTTGTGGACTTGGCGTTGTGACACAGGTGTGCTACCTCCAGAGTCCATGCTTCTAATCACTTGGGCCAGCTTGCTAAGGGTTGTCATTATTTATACTTAATATAAAAAGGCTTGTGATGCCTACTTCAAGTATAGGCACATAGTCTTAAAAACTTAACCGTCTCCAATTTTTCAGTGGAGAAAAGAACCAAGTTTCCTCCTTTTACATAACCAAAAAGTGTTTTTCTGTGTTCTTGAAGGAATGGTCTCATGTTATTCTCCTTTAGTAACAATAAATGCAAAAGTCGCCTAAGTTCATGCCTTTTGTTAAATTTAATTGACTTTCAAAAATTGCCTCACAGTCCAGATAAAATTAAGTTTATGGCAAGCTGCAACTTTCTGTGATCCAGGTGTGTCCCCAGTTCAACACAGGCTTCTGACATTAACACTGTGGAGTATCTTTTAATGTTTCAGATGGAGTTGGCTGTGGGTCCATTCTGCAGAAGAGTATCTGATTTAGGAAAGTCCTATCGAATGCTGAGGTCATTCAGGTGAGACACAGTTCTATTATTGCAGTTGATATATCCATATCCTATTAGCAGATAAATCCTCTCCCACTATTCATGTTGAGCTATATGAAATTGCCAATATTCAACCGTTTTGTGACCTACAACAATGGCAGTTTCATATGGTTTATCTTAAAAGTTATTATTCAAACCAGAAACCCATACAGAATCATATGCAATGACGTGTGTGTGTGTGAGTGTGTGATTTTTGAGTTAAAATTCACAAGACTGAGCTGATAAATTTTATTATGCTCTTTCTGAGGGGGATTTTTTTTTATCATGTTAATCACCATACATTACATCATTAGTTTTTGATGTACTGTTCCGTGATTCATTGTTTGTGCATAACACCCAGTGCTCCACACAGAATGTGCCCTCTTTAATACCCATCACCAGGCTAACCCATCCTCCCAACCCCTCCCCTCGAGAACCCTCAGTTTGTTTTTCAGAGTCCATCGTCTCTCATGGTTCGTCTCCCCCTCCGACTTACTCCCCTTCATTCTTCCCCTCCTGCTATCTTCTTCTTCTTTTTTTTTTTTTTTTTTTTAACATATATTGCATTATTTGTTTCGGAAGTACAGATCTCTGATTCAACAGTCTTGCACAATTCACAGCGCTCACCATAGCACATACCCTCCCCAATGTCTATCACCCAGACACCCCATCCCTCCCACCCCCACCACTCCAACAACCCTCAGTTTGTTTCCTGAGATTAAGAATTCCTCATATCAATGAGGTCATATGATACATGTGTTTCTCTGACTGACTTATTTCGCTCACCATGATACCCTCCAGTTCCATCCACGTCGTTGCAAATGGCAAGATCTCATTCCTTTTGATGGCTGCATAATATTCCATTGTATATATATATACCACATCTTCTTTATCCATTCATCTGTCGATGGACATCTTGGCTCTTTCCACAGTTTGGCTATTGTGGACATTGCTGCTATGAACATCGGGGTGCACATACCCCTTCGGATCCCTACATTTGTATCTTTGGGGTAAACACCCAGTAGTGCAATTGCTGGATCGTATGGTAGCTCTGTTTTCAACTTTTTGAGGAACCTCCATACTGTTTTCCAGAGTGGCTGGGGGATTTTTTTTTCACTCTCCATTCTTACAGAAATATATTGAGTAGTCATACCAGGCAGTTTGCAATTATAGAGATATCTTTTTTCTGAAATTTTCATTTGCTTATTTATCATTTTCAATCTAACCTACCTCTAAAACTGTCAGAGGTTACATTCCATAGCAACACTATTGAATAGAATCTTAAAAGAATTGAGCTTAGTGGTAAAATGTAGGGAGTGACTAGAAATGGTGCAGATAATTTAGGATAAAGATGACTAATGCAGTTGAGCACAAAATTTAGGCTTGAACTTCCTAGAGACCAGTTCAAAAAGAAAAACAGTACTTTAATTCAAATTCACACCTAAGAATATACCAATGTATGGAAAACTCCTTTTCAGTGCTGAATACTTAGATAGGCCTCCTACCAATTTAGATTATAAGGAACACTGAATAACTTAACAACTGTGGCTGTTTATTCAATAAGCCAGAACATATTTATATGTATGTATACATACAAAAAGATGACCAACCCTGAGCACTCAGGGGACCAGACTTGACACTTACACCCATTTTGTGACCACAGCATACCAGATGGGAAACCTTGATGTAACTGTCCATAATATCCAAGAGCATAATGGTCTTTGGATGTTTCTTTATAAAGATAAGGTAAGAGATTCCAGGCATGCAGTTTTCTAAAAACAGACTCAGAACTAGAAACTAGAGCAGTCAATAAGAAGCATGTCCTTTAAATGACTGCTTCACTGTCTTATGTCATCCAGGCTTTTGATAGTAGAAAATTCAGGTGTAATGTCACTTAAAACATAAGAATCCAAGGTTGTTGATTGAAAGGAGAGCCCTGTACTTTGTCTTGCATATTTGTAATTGGCAAAGATTTCTTTTTAATGCCAAAACAAGAGACTGAATTATTTTTCTCAAATGCCCATCTGTACAGAGTTGGGTTTTAAAAAATAAAGTTGGATCACATGTGTTTTCAGATAATGTCTTTGGATCAGCTCAGACCTTTTAAGAAGTATTTAGATATTTTATTGACGTATTAGGGTTTGGCGCTACCAAACGTGGACAGGTTGAATGATTAAGAGGTCCTGAGGTCACTGATTCACCAGTCACCTGCCTGTACCATGAAAACCCCAATAAGACTCCCATAAAGTCACTTATTGAGTAATATGGTAACCCAGCAATCCCAGTTGGGGGGTAAGATGCTGAGTTAACAGAATCAGCCAGCATACTTGAGGTTATTAACCAACTAGCTCTTGAAAAAGGTGTGGGAAAGCTGTGATTTGGGATTTGCTGTATTAAGATTAGGCTATTATTTTTGATAGCCCCGGCTCCCATGTTTTATTGTTTATTGCACATGTATGAATTAAAATAATGCTTACCTTTCTGTGTGCTGAGGCAAGATGGCTTTCATCCGCATGCTTTTAAAGTTGTATCACGGTGTGGGAGACAGGTTTGACAGTTTCGCATGAGACCAGTTCTGTTGTCAGTCATGTAAGGTGGGAGTCTGCCGCCAGCCCTCTCGGGGACCTCTCAGGAGAAGAGCCGTCTCTGATGGAGCATCTGAACTTCTAGTGGTGACACCTTCTAGTACCTGTGTATGGATTGAGAAAGTAATGATCGATCAATGTATAATTAAAAACACTTATGCTATATGTAGCCAGTAACAATGTATATTACTGGTTAGTGTCTAAAAATATGAAAAGTAACTTTGTAATGCATCATGAAATGAAAAACAGACTACTAAACAGTAGATATGATATGATCTCTACTATTTTTAAGACAATAAGTGTATGTGTGGAGAGGAAAAGTCAAGAAGAATAAACGTCAAAATTTGGGGATAGCAGGATTGTCACTAGTGATTTTCCCTTTAGAGGTTTTCTATGTTTTTCATGGTTTTTGCCTTGGTTGTTTTATATTTGCAGTTGGAAAAGCCAGTAAATATATTTTAAAGTCCCTCTCATAGTGTTATTCCCATTTAAAAATAACAAGGAAGCTAAAAAATAATATAAAACATTCTAAAACATTACATAATGGGAGGGGGGTGAGAAAAATAGGCAGGCAAACCACCAAAACCCAGGAGGCTGGCCTGCGTCTGGCTTAGAGGTGGTGGCTGCAGGAGAGGGCAACAGTCCCATGCAGGGGCCCCTTTGCGAGGGACAGTGACCAGCCGAGCCAGCCAGACCCTCCAGTCCACCCCCACTGCACCCAGATACCTGGGCCTTCCGGGCGCTCCTTCCCCCCATCATGCGGCCGTCTGCTGCAGGGTCCTCGCTTCTTGACAGTCATATTAGTGGATTGGTGAATGAAGCCAGCAAGCTTCTTGCATACATTTACATTTTACTGTCTCCGTTAGAGCTTCTCAGGCAGCAGCAATTGTTTTCTTCCCCAGGACAGAGTGCGGCCTCACAAAGCTGCTGACATTAGGTATTTGCCCTTGGGTGATCTGTATTTCCACACGAGACACATGTTCAGAGCTGCCAGGCCCCGTCCTTGCCCATCCCTCTGCAGCGTGGCCTTGTCCCCTGAGTGGGGTTTGCAAGGGAGGTTACCCCAGCTCCACATGGCCAGGGGCCTAGAAGCTCCGACTTGACATTCTCAGTGCAGATCCTTGTGAGGCAAGGGACAGAAAAGGGACCTCATGTTTTCACCAGTGCAGGGACCCAGACCTGCCTTCGGGCAGGCCCCAACTCCTTTGCTCTGGAGGGCACAGCTTTCTCCCTGAATTACGCCTGCAGCATGCTCTGCTGGGGGCCTCATTAGGTTTAATGAAAGCCATCAGGGGACAGGAGCTGCTCGGGGGGAAGTGTTGGCTTGAGGGGCGGTAGAAGGAAAGCATCAGGAACCCTGGCATGTAGTATTGGTGTCTGCTGGGTTTAACTGTAGGCGTGGGGAGGGTTTTCCACGTCTCCGGTGTGCTCCCTGTGATGCCGCCTCTCGCCTGCACGTTTGTGGAAGGAAGGGCAGCCGTCTCTGCGGCTTCCAGTTGGAGCACCAGGACCCCCAAATGTGTGCCAGCCTTTCTTTGTACTTGTGAACCCATCCCCGGAAATAGCTATTTCCCCAAGGTTTCAGATTTCAACATGTAGCCAGAAGGCAGCGCTTTCTTGGGCCTGGTTTGGTTTGTTGTTGGCAATACTCGGGCAGTGCTAGGAGCACCTGGCAAACAGGGAGGGCTGGGGAGTTGGCTGAGCCTCGCCTTCATTCTAGCAGTCACTCTCGGATCATTCACTGGGTGCTCAGCCTGTGCAAAGTGTGTCCCTGATACTTTACCGTTTCGCCTTCACCACAACACTTCCGAGGCGGGAGTGATCCCTGGGAGGCACTGATGCTGGGGGGGGGCGGGGGGGGGTCACATGACATGGCTGCCTGTCTGAGTCATGTGGGAATTCCAGAGCTGCCTTCCAGACCCAGGGCTGCCTGATCCCAAGGCCTGTGCTTGTAACCACTGCACCCCAGAGCTTATTCCAGAAGTTCCTGTTCATTTTCACTCTGGTTCTAGAATAGCACCTGAGTGCTTCTCTAAGTCATCCAGGAGAATGTCAGTGTGAAGAGAATCTGAAACCCCGCCGTGTGGTGACCTCTCACTCTGCACTTCCCGCCTCTCACCGCCGTCTGCTGTGTACGGGCTTCCAGGATGTGCCTGCAGAATGCTGAGCCACATGTACGCTATGGTTCCTAGAGGACGTCTGCCTGAAGCCTTACCTCCTCTCCCCTGCTCTGCTGGGGCTGATGATATCTAGACCCTAAGAAAGGAACCTGCGAGTTCTCTCGCCTCTTTACTTGGAGCCCTGACTTACCTACAGCCACCAGCGTCCTGCTCTGTTCCCCTGGGACCCATACGGCCCTTCTGCCACACTGTCTGGGTCCCTGGCCTGCAGGCCTCCAGCCTTGCCTTCCCCTCTCCAGAAGGGAGACCCTGTGTGTCCTGTGCCGGGGGCGGGGGGGGGGAGTACTTGTGTTCCCTTCCCCCACCTCATTTCTCTGCGGGTTCTAGATCTCAGCGCACATTCCCTGTGGTCTCGCCACCCTCCCCGGCCCCTCACCCAAAGGAGGTTTGGAACGAGGGTGTGGCGAGTGGTTTGGGCCTCCACCGACAGTGGATGTGGACATAGGGACACACAGTCTTACTTTACTTCATAATTGGCCTGAACCAAAGACCGACAGCCACCTGGCTGTGTGTCACTTCAGTGTGGAGATCCCTACTGCAGAGACAACTTTTTCTCATGGGACCTAACACGTGATTAGTAAGACTGCCCACTGTGTGTCAGGTGTAACCTTGGAAATGCTGCTCTGTTTCGAGCACTCTTCTCTGAGAACGGTGTTGTGGCATTTGGGGTAACTGCGTTTTGTAACATCTTAATTTCCTTTTGTTCCTTGTATCACCTCAGATGGAGATTTATTTTTTAACTTGCCAGGATTTCAGATTCCACCTGGAATCAGGGAGAAGGGAAGTGCTCATGCTGTGTTCTTTCAGACTCTTAAAATGAGCACCAGAAGTGAAATGTCTGCATTTGATGTTTACAGGTAATTATGTCAGTGATGCATGGTATGGAAGCAAATCCAATTTTGCTCTCCATGGCTCTTTTGGCAGTCCTGTTAGTGGCTGGAGGAGAAGATTTGGTCTTAGCGGAAAAATAACTGCTCTGACTCAGAGCTACAAAGGGACAGGTGATGAAACGATCCCGCTGAAGAACGAGCTGGTTTTCACGAGGCCTGGTTGTGCGGGCACATGAGCCGGCAGCGTTGGTGTGGGTCAGCTGCTAGACTCCCTTCCTCCCGTCCTGTCCTCGCTGCCTGTTTGCGCTTGTACCGTTTGTGGTTTGCAGCAAGAGTATATTAGAGGAAAATAAAAACACGGTATTCAGACCATGAAAGCAATTTAATTCTATAGATGCGTTTCATGTTTGACTTGAAACTCCCTGAGGCCAAAGGTAAAAGAGAAGCTGAATCAGCTATGTAATCTTCATTTTCAGAAGGAAGAAAATCCATGAGTTTTCAGAGAACATTCCATGTTCCCTGTGACCAAATGCTAAAGCACCTGTATCCGGGACTTTATATGCCGAGCACTGAGAGACGTGGGAACCAATAGTCTTGTGCTGAAGTAGAGGCAGAAGGGCTTCCATATGGCTGCTCTTCCCTAAGTCAAGGATTGTCACACAGGACTGGCCCCCCAGGGTCTCCTCCCGTCATGGTCTAGGGTTCAAGATGAATCCTGCCAAATCAGATGGCATAGGCAGAGTGAGCTTTCCTGGGGCAAGGGGAAAATCTCATCGGACCAGGGAGGGAGGGAGAGACGTGAAGGCCTGGGTTCTGTCTCCCCACATCCCTCACGGCGGCTGTCAGCCAGGCCAGGCCTGCAGGATGAGCCTGTGACCCCAGGCAGGAACCCCTACCCACTGCCTCTTTCCCCTGTTATAGCTCAAACTGGGGCAGCCTGGTCACTGGCGCGGCAAGCAGAGTGGTCACCCGCTGGCTTTGCAGTTCCAGGGAGTTCTTGGTGAATGGCAGCTGCTTGGCACACGGGGACCTTGGCCGGGAGCTGTCTGAGCTCCGCGGCTGGGAAGTGGGACCAGCGTGGCCTCATCCCCACGCCGACCCCCGAGTGCACGCCCAGAGGCCTTAAAACGGTCCCAGTCATTGCCCCGCAGGATTGTAAAGTCAAGCCAGGTGGAAATAACTGCCAAGAGAGACTGTGTGACATGGTTGAGGTACATAGGCGACTGGAGGGCCACTTTGACCTAGAGAGAATTGGGGGTCCCTAAAGAAATAATAATTGCTTGTCCCTCAAGGGGTATCCTGTAAGCATTCATTTTTCTCAAGTTGTTGACAGTGTGAAATTGTACTTCTTCCAGGGGTCTCTGTTCCCCGCTGAGAAGAAATGTCTCTGCTCTGAAAACAGGTTGAATAGTGGCTACAGTTGATTATCCTCAGGCTGCCTGGCAAAACTAAGAGCCAGGCTGTCTGGGTTCGAATCCTTACTCTTCTCTTTTCCAGCTTTTACGTGGTCTCGCTACCCCTCAGTTTACCTACCCGTAGGATGGGGATAGAACCTACCGACCTCGTAGGGTTGTCTGCAGGAATCTGATGTGTTTTAAGCAGTGTCTGGCACATTGTGCACACTCACGTGGCAGCAGGTGCCGCTGGGCTGGTTAGACTGGGCGCACTCACGCGGATGGAGACCGCGCACGAGGGCTTCTGGGGTGCCTGCTGACAACACCAAACCGCTCTCAGCACTGGCTTCGTACCTTCCTAGGTGCTTGACTCACTGCCTACAGCCCTGCTGTCAGATGACTGGGGCCTTGGGGATCTTCAAGGCAGGGAAGCTGCAGCCTCAGGGGGGGCCACAGGAGGTCCCTAGGGCATCACCCCCCCCCTCACCGCACCCACACCCCAGGGCCTGGTATGGAACTTTATGGATTGTTGGTGATGGCCGGCACAAATGGCCTGAAATATGTCCACGATGACTAAAGAAAAGTTATGGGGATAATTTTATTGGATAAAATGTTTGAAATTAGAAAAATCCTTAACAGAGATAGATTTCATTTACAGAATAGTTAATATAAAGACATTCTGAGAGGCACGGCTGGGTAGCCCAGTCTGTTAAGCGTCTGCCTTGGGTCAGGTCATGATCTCAGGGTCCTGGGATCGAGCCCCATGTGGGCTTCCTACTGAGCGAAGAGTCTGCTTCTCCCTCTCCCTCTGTGATCTCTCTCGCTCTCCCTGTCTCTCAAATAAATACAAATCTTAAAAAAAAAAAAAAAAATTCTAAGATTAATCTGGATCCAGTGAGAACCAATCGCCTGTTGAGAGCACTCCGACTCTTGACATGAAACCTTTCATTCGTGTGAGGAAGCGGCCAGTCTCTGGGTTGTGCAGGCCTCCTGTGTGGATGGGAATAATTAGGATGGGGCGAAGGAAAAGCCCAGGATACAGAGCTGTTCCACACGCTGCTGAATCGTTTCTGCTCTTGACAGAGGTACTGCTCTGCCATCTTTCCTCTTGAGATTCAGCCCTTACAGCTGGGCCTGTCATCACCTTCTGTCTGTCAGAGCCCAAAGCCAAGGAGAGGTCAGTGGAAGTTGCCAGGTATTCCTGCGGCTGGTAGGTGACTGGTGGTGGGGTAGCTTTGCCTGCACGCCCCTGTGAAATAGAGGGGCTGACCCCCAGATGTGTAATGTATTGGAAGGGACCTGGCACAGATCTCGATGGGATGTAAGGTAATAATTTCGTACATACAGGACATAATTGCCCTTTGAAAGTTGTGTAGACAGTGTTTGCATTTACCTATGTTAGGTTGTAGCCCAAAGAGGGATTTTATTTAAAGTGAAAGCTGGAAGTTTTGACCAAGATAAGAATCTATTGGTTATAACTGCCTGAAGCCTTCATTGTTGCTTTGATTTCAGCCTGTTCATCAGATGAGCTCTAAGAGGGGGATTTGCTGAGCCGCCTTGAGGTCAGGTCACACCCACAGGCCAGTGAGCTGGGGGTCAAAGAAGGAGGTGAGGGGCAGGTCAACTTGCCACAGTGTATAGGTTAGGGGTGTGTGCGTGTGTGTTTGTGTCTGTGTCTGTCTGTCTTCAGGCTGAAGGGGGGGTGGGTTAAGAAATGGCTAAGAAATCACCAGTTTAGGGTGAATGCTATTACTGATTCTTCCGCTCGTCCGCTACACTACTATAGTCTACCAACATGCTATTAAGGTTCTTCTACCAAATCGCCTCTTTCAGGATTGAACAATGTGAGATAACCATTGCTTTTTCTTCCTTTAGACCCTTGCTCTTCCAGACGAGCGAACATGTGGCCAGTAGCCCCGCCCTGGGGGACATTATTCCCTTCAGCATCATTATTCAGTTTTTGTTTACCAGAGCACCCGCTGAGCTGAAATCCCCTTTTCAGGTAATAAAGTAAAGCCAGAATCCTCTGATGAGTCCTCCCTCTTCAGTCTATAAATCCAGAGCCCCACTCACGAAATGGGTTCCTGGCCTTCTCTTGCCTTAGTCATGAATCCCTCCCTGCCTTGGAAGTGAATGATTCAGGAAAGAAAATCCCCGCCACTCAGCCTCAACTCTCTCAGCAATGTAAAAATTACCTGAGGAAGCCGGAATTCACTCTTTAAGTATAATGGCACAAGTAATTTATGTTCAGAAAGCTTTTTTGATGGAGGCCCCATTTCTTTTGCTGATCCCCCTGCAATTGGCTAATCCAAAAAGTTTCTTGGGAGTTGAGAAGGTGCGCCAAAGTCTTGCCACCTTCCTTCAGGCAGGTGTTTGGGTAATTTCACCTTGGGAATCCTTGAGATTTCTTGTGCCAGTATGTACTGCCCTTCATCGGAGAGTGTGGATGCACCCTGTCTTCTCTAATTTGTGTTCCAACCCTGCAGAGGGCAGAATGGTCCCACGCACGCTTCTCCCAGTGGCTAGATGACCATCCATCTGAAAAGGACCGGCTCCTCCTCATCAGGTAAGGCCGAGTGTCCCTGGGACACCTGCGTGTTCTAGCAGCCGGTGGGCTGGAGGAGGGGGCGCCGTGGAGGAGGAAGGAGCCGGGCGTGGGTGGGCGTGGACACACGGTGGCGCCGCCATGTGGCGGGCCGCCTCAGTGCGCAGGCGCGTGCCTGCCGGCGCACCCGGCGCGGTCCCTCGCTTCCACATCGTCACGTCGCCTTGTGGGCTGCCCCATGCCTGATGCAGCCCTAGGAACTGTGCGGCCTGGGTTTGAAAACCAGGGCCGGTGACAGACTCCCTGCTGTACGCCCCATTTTCCATTTCGTGTTCCTGTGTTGGAGTCACTGAATTGATGGAGCTCACATGTGAGTAAACTTTTAAGAATACCGAAACGTGGGGCGCCTGGGTGGCTCAGTTGGTTGGGCGACTGCCTTCGGCTCAGGTCATGATCCTGGAGTCCCGGGATCGAGTCCCGCATCGGGCACCCTGCTCGGCAGGGAAGTCTGCTTCTCCCTCTGACCCTCCCCTCGCTCACATGCTCTCTCTCTCAAATAAATAAATAAAATCTTAAAAAAAAAAAAAGAATACCGAAACGTGACAGTTATTACAGAAAACAAGGACAAACCCAGCGGCCATTCAGATGCCACACGCCCTCCGGGAGCACACCCCCCCCCCCCGCCCGCCCAGTCTGCACGCCGGGCGGCCCTCTTCCTCAGCCTGCTCCTCAGGAATTGCTCTCGGCCACATCTCCAGCCACCTTCCAGCCACCAAACCCAAACGTCGCCGGGCTTGCCTTCCTACTCCGCAGCTTTAGCGTTGCCCGCCACTTCCTTCTGTGGTGGCCCACGCTGTCTGACTAAAGACATTTTGGTCGATGCTCACTACGCGCCAGGCCCTAAGGACTGAGAGCAGACGCACAGGCGGCCTGCCCTCCCGAGCTTCCGCGGCACCTCTGTCCTCTCCTCCCGTTCTCATCTCTCCGGCCGTGTCTGTCTGTTTGCTTTTTCTCAGTCTAGTGCGCAGAGCTGTCTTCTGTCCACTCCTCAAGTGCCATCATTTCCCACAGTTTGTGCCTGGCTCTTTTTCTCTCACATTCCGTGTATACTTGGGTCCCCAGGTGAGCCCATCTAGACCCCTGACTCTGGTGACCTCTTCTGTCCTCATGGCTCCGAGGCCTGTGACTCACCTTGATTGCCCAGGGCCTCCGGCCAGCAAACTGGCTGTCATCTGTCACTCAACGTTCCCCACAGTTCTCAAGCCAAAAATGTTAAAAACAAATCCTCTTTCTTCTCAAATCTTCTTCCAGACTCCCCATCTTGGTTGGGGTGTCACCATCACATACCGGCCAAGCCACAAAAACCTTTGCAACGTCTTGCAACTCCTCAGTCACCCTCGTTCTCCAAATCTCAGTCCGTCGTACTTCTTAAAGAGCTCCTGAAGCCATTCTCAGCCCTCCCAGGGGGTGCTAATGCTGTCGGTGTGGGGAGCGCTGCACAGAGCAAGGCTTTGCTTGAGCTCAGTGCAGAGGGATGAGCTGGGTTCCCCAAAGCCAGATGGGGCTGATGTGGCCAGGTGGTGCTCTACCATGCTTGCACGGAGGAATCCTTTGCAGAGCTTGGAAAAAGCCTGGTGTCCAGGCCACCCCCTCTCAACCACCTCCGAATCTCCAGGGTGGGGACCTGGCACTGGGATTTCCCACAGCTTCCCGGGCAGTTCTGCAGCATGGCCAAGGCTGAGACTCCACCAAGAAGGAAGCTGGGAGGGGCCGTTGAGAAACACGAGTCCGTTGGCCTCTGGGAGGGACCCCGAGCCCTCAGGTTTGGTGCCCAGAGGGCACCACTGGCCCTCCGGTGCCTGTGTGGGTAAGGAGCGGATTATCCCGGGCCCCTGCTCTTCTTTGCTGGTCTGTTACTCTTCTCAGCTGTGAGCGTCTGGCCAAGAAATGGGACAGGATGCCAGAGGCGCCTCCCATCAGTTCCTGGGACCAGTTAGAGCTGCCCTCGGAGGGGCCTTTAGGGATGGATGAGAGGCTTGGCCTGGGGCTAACTCAGATCTGCGATGTCTTGGTGGCTTTTCTTTCCTGAGTCTCAAAGACTCGCTTGGCTACAGCACACTGGGTAATAGAGGGTTCAGGACTCAATTAATTGAACGGGGCTCATTTGTGTCTTCTTAGCAAGTTGGAATGAGTTCATCCACAACAGTTGTCCTGCTGTGGGCACATCACAAATCTGTTTGCTTTTGCTTCTCTTGAAAATGTCTCCTGAGTGATTTCATCAGTAGTGCTGTTGCTAAGCCTAAATTTAGCAACTGAAAATCATGCTCAGAAATACTGTCATGCTTTTTAAATAAGGCCTATCCATCACACATGTCTGATATCAGAACCTTCAAGCCCCGGGCGGAAAACTGAGCCCTCCTTGGGGGATTCCAAAACACTGTGCTCCTGCTACAGCCCAGGCTGTTGGCAAGGAGAGAAGCTTTGTCCTAGAGAATGTTCTTTCTTATCTATTATTTCAAAACTAATTTGGTCCCTGCGTGCTGAAGCACCACTAGATGACCTTCTTTCCCCTGTAGATAAACCCAGGGTGAGTATTGCTCTTTAAATGTCAGTACGTTTGTTCTGACCTTTGGGGGAGACCCTGTCGTGTGCTCGTCTGTGTCCCCCCCCCCCAAGCACAGTATGCTAAGTTGTCATAAATAGGCCAAGTCAGGAGACTCGACTGCTGCTGAGTGAGTGGCAAACAGTGAACTCTCTTCTGCCTGCCTTTCTGTTTCTTTTCGACACCAGATGTTTCTCTGGAGCGTGCAGGGATACTAGTCACGATCATGTTAAAATCAGAGGAATCACTGACTCGTGGGGCCAGGTGGTGTGAGTGGGAGCACACGGGGTTCCTCTGCCCGCACCAGGCAGGGGCAGAGGCCTGGGGGTGGGCCTGGGGCTCTGTGGGTGTTGAGTGAGTTTCCAGCAAAGAGGAGGACTGATTCTCGACTTTGCAGGGGGGCGGGGGTGGGCCTCGAGCTCTCGATCTGTGCTGTGGAGCGGCAGTCCTCCTCTGCTCCTCCTCAGCCTGTTTGCCTAGAACACCTTCTCACTGTCAGAAATGTTGACGAGCTCTGTTGGCCCACCTGTGCTTTTAATCTGTTCAATGATGGGACGGTTGTCGCTGCCGGGGCCGGCCATGGGCCCTCTGTCCTCCCGCCATGGCCCAGGGACCTCAGACGGAGAACCATCCCAACTCTGCGGCCCTTCTGCTGAGTGGCAGGATCCCCATCGATGAGAGGAACATTTGGTCTCCCCTCCTGGTGTCCCTGTGGCACTGGCTACCTGCGGCCTGTGTGCCCGAGGCGGGACCAAGAGCGAGGACGGAGCCCGGGGGAGTCAGGGGCTTCCTTGTCTATGAAGGCATGTGGTGGATCTTTAAGTCATTTGTAGATTTCATACTAATGCCTGACAGAAATGTATTTTGTGTTCCATAAAAACCTCTACTTGGCTGCTTTAGATCACACTGAGCTGTGTTGCCATGTTACCATCAGCCATTCCTCTACTAATTGTGCAATTCCTGTACTTTTTTTTTTCAATAAGGGTAGCTTTAACAATCTGCTTATTTTGATGACAAACGAGACTTGAGACTAATTCTTACATAATGCTTGGCCTCACTTCCGAGAAAGCTGATGTTTTGCCCAAGCAAATGAAGTTATTTAACAATTGCTTGAAAATCTTGCTCTGATTTTATGTGGGAGGGTAGCTTTAATCTGTTTTTCTCCCTCTAATTCTGATGGTGTTTTTCCTGAATACCAAAAAACTAACCAAACTCATTTCTGAACTTTCTTCTACATATTGTGTAGTTTACATAATGTCTTGTCCTTTTGAATGCGAATGAAACAAAGTTGATTTTTGTTCATTTCTTAGATAATGTGGATCTAATTCATTCACTACAGAGCGACTGCCATCTCTTTGAATTTCAGTGCGTGATGTCAGATCACTATGTAGACACACCACTGTCTCAACGACAGTTGGAGCCCTTAGGGATTTCTCTTCTGAGTATGAGTCTGCAGGGGCTACATTTTGGGAGTGGGGCGATGCCCAGGATGCCATAGCAACTTGAAAAGTATTACTAAAAGCAGCAAGATTTTTCATAAATCGCTTCATGAAGGTTCAGCTCTGACATGAACTAAGGCGTCTCATAAAACATTTTCTAAGACCATTAAGTTCCATTTTTCATGTCGGTGCTGCTTTTGTGGATCCTACAGTCCCGTTTCTCCTTTAAAATTTGCTTCCTTCTGCACTCTTGTCCTTACTTTTCATTATAGTTTATCTTCCTATATTTCTAATTCCTTTTTTAAAATTCACCGATCATGCATTTGTCAAGCGCTCCGTCCTGAGGCTGCAGAAAGGAACAAAACAGCCCCAACCCTCCAAATGAAGTTACCTCCCCGAGAGGGAAGCTCACCAGGGGCCAGATACTCGCATAGTATATAATAGATTCTTACGTGTGGTGTGAGAACACGGGATGGGAACCTAAACAGCGTGCTGGCTTACAGGGACAGTCTGAGGCCGCCTGGAAGCCTGCTGGGGGGAACAGTGTTTGAGTGCCTGTGGGTCCAGAGATGTCCCGAGAAGAGCCCCAGGTGCTTCCAGTACAATCTTTTAATTCTCCTAACTGTGCATGTAGGTGTCCTTCCCATGTGGCCGAGGAGCGAACAGGCACAGCTCGGTGGCGGGGCAGAGCCTGCGTCCCACGCGGCGCACCGACAGTCGCCCGGCCTTGAGCAGAGCCCGGAGCCGGCCGTCGGGAATCCCACAGTGCGGGGTCCCACCAAGCCACGGCTTGGGTCGGGAAGGCTTAGACCTTTTCCACCATTTCTTGGGACTCCAAGGTGGTTTCTTTTGTGCTGCCTGGCATTCGGAGAGGCTCTGTCAAAAAGAAGGCATTAGAGCCGGCCCCTAGTAAAGTGCTCTGCGGGGAAGACAGCACGGAAGAGCCCCCCGCAAAATAAAGAGAACGGAGAGAGACCTAGGAGGATGGGCTTCGGGAAGGAGGGGAGAGGCTGTGTGGTGGGAGAGAAACGGGCCCTTTCGCAGCCCTACCTTGTTGGGCAGAGAGACAGCTTCATTTCCGAGCGAGGCTCGCCGTGGGCCTCCGGGGTCAGGCTCGGGGCCACAAGTGGGGGGAAGCTGCCCTGCACGTGTGTGGGTAACACGAACAATGGCAGCTAATGATTTGAAGGGCTTTTGGGCCTCAGCAAACTATCCGGAAGCCGGCAGCAGCACGGGCAGGGTTGCGGGAGGTCACGATGAAGCTGGTGCTCCGTGGGTTGCGAGTGTAGCCCCGGCCTCGTGGGATAGATAGCGAGTGGCCGGCGCGGGCGGCAGAGCCGGGGCCCCACGTCCGAGGCGGGGGCGGCGATGGGCGCCCCGCACGGCAGGAGTCGGACGGAAGCCAACGGGAGAGGGCGGACTGGGGCTGGAAATCTGTGAGGAAGAGTAAAAGAGGAATTTACAGAGAGACTTTGGGGAGGGGCGGGGGCCCTTTGTTGAAATAGGGGATGGTGGGCAGAACACTACCCTGAAGGGCTTTTCCCTCTAAGTTTTGTTTCTTTTTTGATAGACTTTTTTAAATTTTATTTTTTTAAAGACTTAGAGAGTGTGAGTTGGGGGAGGGGCAGAGAGAGGGAGAGAAGCAGACTCCCCATTGTGCACGGAGCCTGATGCAAGCAGGACTCGATCCCACAACCAGATCATGAGCTGAGCCGATATCAAGAGTCAGGCGCTTAACCGGTTGACTGAGCCCCCAGGCACCTGGATGGACTTTATGTTTTAGAGCAGGTTTGGGCTCACAGCAGATTTGAGAAGGTCCAGAGAGTTCCCATCCACCTGCAGCCGTCCCCCACGGGCAGTCCGTGGGTACAGTTGATGAGACCACCTTGCACATCATCGTGCCCCAGAGCCCCTGGTCTCCATGAGGGTTCTCTCTGTGTCGTTCGTTCTCGGGGTTTTGGGGTGCCCTGTTTCTGACAGGCGAGTTTGAGGGGCACGTGGGAGAAGTCAGATAATGCTGCCCAGGACACAGTGGAAACAAGTCAGGAGGGAGGTCAGGGCGGACAGGAGGGACCCGGCCTCAGTTATGCGTCCCAGCGGGGCTGTGAAGTGGCTGGCAGGGGGGCGGACGCCCCAGAGCCGGGGATAATCAGCACATCTGACCAGGGGGTCAGTATGCGCAGCGTTTGGGAGCAAAAAAAAGTTAAGAATTACATACCAGACTTGAGACTGAGTATGTGAGCTGAGTAATGGTATTCTTGCGTCTTCCTAGAAGTGCTCTCATCTAATCTCAGTGTGAAACTTAAAAAAACCAGTAGGACTATGATGAAAATTTTGTTATACTTGGGGCATCAATAGACCAATAATGAAAATCTTTTAACCATTCTTTTTAGCTCCAATTAAACATGATATAACACTTAGAAAACTTTTTCCATAAAGATCCGGATAGTGAGTATTTTAGGCTCTGCAGGCCGTATGGCCTCTGCAGGGGGGGCGTGTGTGCCCCTGTCGCCGGGAAGCGGCCACACACAGCAGATGAGCGAGCACAGCGCTCCGTTTGGCCTGCGGGGCTCGTTTGCAGGCTCCCAGATTGAATTCAGAACATCACAGTCACCAATTTTCACCGGCTGGTGGCACATCCTTGTGGCTAAATTCAGACCACCTCCTTATCACAGGCTTTGCTAAAACCCAGAGCCCAGCAGCAGTGCCGTCTCCCTGTAGGTTCATACTCTCCTCAAACCCAGGGGTGTTGAGCGCCGCCCAGGGGGACAGTGTGCGCGCCGGCCCCATGCCACGGCGCCGCCTGGGCGGGCCTTCCCGCGGTGCCGGGCTCCCCCTTGTGAGCTCTGTGAGAAAGCACAAGCTGCCTGCGCCTAGTCAGAAGCCTTGAATGCGGAGGGGAAAGCAAACACCGCACCGTTAGACCGCCAAGTACAGTGCAGGCTGAAGTGTTTATGGGTTTCCACAGTAACCATGGTAACGCCACCACTGGCTGTTTGAAGGCTGTCACTTTGTCACTCAGCTTGTGGAACTGGCCACAGCAACGCCAGAAATGGGCTGCCTTTACATATTGGTACCCTCTAAGTGGTTTTATTTCATTAATTTTTTGACACTGTTTTCATTTTTGTTTTCAGGGGAGCTCTGGAAGCTTATGTTCAATCAGTGAGAAGTAGAGAAGGCAAAGAATTTGCACCAGTTTATCCCATAATGGTTCAACTGCTTCAGAAAGCCATGTCTACTCTTCAGTAACAATGTGAAGTAGTTCTCAATCTCCCTTTTGCACGAACCCAGCTCAAGGTTGGCAGTTAACCTAAGAAACACATACTCTAAAAACCAGCTACCATCCACTATTTTGAGAACGTAATCAGCCTCTCTGTACTTCCTGTTGATCTGCTTACCTCTTGAGCCCCTTCTCCCTTAAGTAAAATGTCAGAATAGATTCATCACTACCTTCAAACTCCGTGGACCTGATTTTTCCAGAAAGATACCCAACTCTTTTTTTCTTTCAGGACATTTTTTTCTTTTAGGAGACTAGCTAAAATTTCTTTCCCATGAGAGTCCCCCTCTGTGTACACACACACCCTAAGTTCCCATTGCTTTTTAAGGGCTCTGACCAAGTTATAAATACCCTGCTGCTCCCAATTAACCTTTGCCCTCACTAGGTAAGTGTGTAGCCCAGTGGTTTCCAAATTTGCACATTAGGGTCACTGGTGGAAAGCTTTTGAAAATCCTGATGCCCGACGTGCACCCCGTGTTGACACATCTGGGGGTAGGGCCAGGCATCCATTTTTGAAAATATCCCTGGGTGTTTCCAGTATGCAGCAAAGTCTGGGAACCACCGGTATCTCCCAAAGCTAAGACGTAGGGTCATATGTTGTTTAAGTATGTCTTACTGTATCTGTAATAAAGAAAGACAGAGCAAGGCTGTCTTTATCCTCTGTGTCATTCTATTAAAAGCAGACTTTGGGGGCTGGTCAACTTTGTAGTGGGGATGTCAAGTTAGAAACAATTTTTAGTCTACAAAGGTCTTTCACATAGATAATCTAGATCCTTGTTTTTCCGTTGCCTGTGACTTGTCACTAACAAACATTTTGTTTCTGATTTATGTTTGTTTAAAAACCCCATCAGCAACTTCTTAATGTATTTTCCATGCCCCACACCTGTTGTTCGGACTCACTCAGACATAAAGCTCAGTCAAGTTCAGTCCGCAGAAGTCAGAGATAAACAATTTTTTTTTCATTTTATTTGAAATAATATACAAGAATATAGTGTGCAAAATTTAGGGGCAACATCATGAAGAAGTGTAATGAACTGAAATCAATTTTACAGCTGTGATTCCTAACCAGAAACACCACTTGGTAAGTAACATGAAAAGCCATGATTGTAGCTCAGAGCAGAAGCAGCTGTCTTGCCAACGTCTGTGCTCTCACCTCAGACAGCTGGAGGAGAAGTAAAGTGCACGTGTTGCACTGCAGGAAGTGCAAAGTCTGCCCCCACCATACACATAGGATGACAAACAAGATATTTAAGATATGTGGCTGAGGAGATACAGAACACAAAGTTAAAAAATACAATGGTGTCAACTGTTTGTTAATAGCACCATGACAGTGACTATATCCCAATGCTATTAACTAACTTGACCTGGGCCTGGGCGAGGCCTCCACCGCAAGTCCTGCATGGGGGCTGCCGCCCAGTGCCAGTCTCGGCATGCCCGGGGGACCCCGTGGCAGGCAGCGTGCGCGCACTGGGACGCCGACACCGGGCACATGTTCAGGAGCTCCCGGGTTTGGCACAGATGCTGGGCCATGCGGTGGTCGCTCAAGGAAAGGCCAGCTCCTGGCTCGGTTTCATTCCACTATGTGTACAATACAGATTAATAAGCAGTAAGGAGCCAATGTATAAACAGCAGTTACATATTTTTAAATTCCCCTTTTGTACAATTTAAAATAAAACATGTATACACTCTCCTCTCTTTCTACTGTACTTTAGCACCACAGGATATCAATTTTCAAGCCTATATTACCTGATAGACATATATGAAGTTTGGAAGAAAAATAAGGCAATTTGGTTTACAATGTTGATAGTTTTAGCTTACTTAATGCTCTAATGGAAAAAGCAAATCCTCACTCATATTATTAAATCATTTCAAGACTCAATGCTATCAGTATCTTATGGTCACACGAATTCAGGACAAATGGTGACACCTCGATCTTCTTAAGTCCCTCCGTCAACAGTGTTTATGCAACTACAGACTTAAGAACATATGCATCCTGGCTTAATGTTGCTGTGAGCCCTGTGGAGAGAAAATTAAAACAGCTAATGTTTACAAGTCAATACACAGTAGTTCTACAAATGAAAGCTAAGATGAAGAACAGAATGTTTATAAACTTACTATTTAAAAAAGATCACTTTCTCAAATGCGGCGATTTTTAAAAGTGTGCTAACACCCAACAGCTCAAGCATCCAGAAAATGTATGAGAATGGTGACAAGAGATGGGTTAGGAAGAGCAGCAAAGAAAGGGGATCTAGGCCAAGTCCTACCACACTCAAATCAAAACCAGCTGAGCCACCCTTTTCTACTGGAGTCTGACTACCATCTACTTCTTTACAAGAAATTCCTGATAAATGTAAGCGATTGTGAACTGCATGTTACTCTAAAAAGACATACGCATAAATCTACAGAATAAATGTAAGGCATCCTTAGCCGCCCTCCTGCTGCAAAGGACTGATGTCTTCCCTTCATTTTTAAACGGTACTTCAAATTGAGCTCACTCTGTTCTATCATGGGAAGTTTTCTTCAGAATTAATCAAAAAACTTGACTTGAAAGTTGCTAACCTAGTAATGGAAACATTCTAAGAATCCATTCCATCCAAGGTTGTGTTTTTATGCTGTGAATTCATTTACAAGAGTCTTCCTGGGCCTATTACTTCTTCTTCCTGAGGTTTTTAATCTAGAAATTCTGTGCGAATGTCAGAGGCCCCATGAAGGTTAATGTGCTCCATCCTCCTTAGCCCCTGCCCATTTATGAAAAGAGGCTGCTGGGACATATCACCCCAAGATCAGAAAGATTTTGTACTGTGCTACTGCGTTGGTTACACCCGTCTTTCAACCCAACTAAAAATACTACCGTTCCCCAAAATTATTTTTCCACCTCAACATTTCTGGATAAACATTCTTCTTAAGCATGCCAGACACTTCTATTTTCCGTGCTAAAAAACTAAATGGCACTTCATAATTTAAATAAATAAATAAGGCAGCCTGTCTCGTAGGGTGGTGTAAAAACATTAGGTTGTTAAGTATAAAAAGGCTGAAAGTATAAAAAGGCTGAAAAAGAGCCTCTATACCACCTTTTCAAGGTTATATAAGCATTGTTCCACACGCCAGTTCAGTTATGGGGAGAAGTCAAGATCTTTTGGAGGAACTAGTTGTTGAAACCTACTGAATTGGTTCTTTTCCTTTTCCAACAGTCAGGATTTAGGCGTTTTTGTTCTTCAGCCAAAGCCTTTGCTTCTAACGTATACATCCTTCTCTCTTCATTCTTCATTTTCTTCCACCTGTCGCCGAGGATCACGCTTATGGCTCTGTAAAATAAACATGCACACAACGCTGAAGGCCAGAATTTCTCGTAAGATGCATGTCCAGTGCTGCTACCTCAGGAAGAAATAGAAAGTTAAAAGAAAAAAAGACAATCTTGTCCAACAGAGAGAAGGGAAAAGGTCAAGGCTATTGTAGTCATTTCCAGTAAAATCTCAAGTCCCATGGGCCCATTTATTATCATCATGGCAGTTAAAGCCGCCTGGAATGGTGCCAGTATTTCCAGTTGTCAGAGGACATCTAAAATGGCTAAAAATTCAGTGTCCTACAGAGCTTAAAAGAAAAAAGTGAAGTATTTCAGAGACGTGGTTTAAATTACCATTGGCTCTATCCTGGTACATCGGTTTCTCAAAGATGCTTAAGATAGCACAAGGCAGTGTTCGGTATCAGCAGCATAATGTATTAAAAGCTATTCTTGCTTTCTGTTTGTGCTCATAACCCATCAAACAGTTATGATCAAAGTTTCATTCATTCATGTAACCATAGTGAAAATGTGGTGGCATGAACTATGCGCACCGTACCATTTCCCTCCTAAGACAAGGCCAGATAAATCCTAGATCACGTGATCTCTGTACTTGAAGAAATTGGATAAGCTCAAAGGGAAAGAAGTCCGACTGGATAAAACACATCATGATAGACATCTGAAGCTATTTCCTATTTATATTTGTTAATCTCCCAAAACCAGTGTAAGTCTCATCCAGAACATGCAAAGAAAAACCATTTTCCTTCTGTGGAGAGCTTTTAACCATTAACTCCATGACACGAGGGTCCCATACGCTGCACAAAGTAGATACGAGTGAGCTCAGTGCCTGACGTGGAAGCTAGCGCTGGGCTAGAACAGGAAGCACAGCTCTACCAGGAACTCAGTATGTAGTAAATACAGACAAGTGTGTATATATATATTTTTTCCAGTAAGTTGATGCAATTAAACATTGTACTGCATCTTCCTTTATTAAAATAAAACCCAGTTTTTATAGTCTCTGGGTTAAAGGTACCAAGGTTGACACATTTACCAGTTAAATTGGTAAGAAACATTTAGGTTATCAATTCCCAAATCAGAGGTGCATTTGGTTTGAGAAGTTTCTCTTTTTAAAATGTAAATACTTAAAAATTTAGCTCATGAGAAGAGACTGGTAGCTGCCAGAGGCTAGGGGTGGGGGGTGGATGAAATGGGTGAAGGGGGTCAAAAGGAACAAACTTCCAGTTGTACAATAAGTCAGTCATGGGGCCGTAAGGTGCTACACAGTGACCACAGTTAGTCCCGCTGGGCTGTGCATTTGAAAGTTGTGAAGAGTAGCTCTTAAAAGTTCTCGTTACAAGAAAAATTTGTAACTGTGTGGTGACGGATGAGAACCAGACTTCCTGTGGCGATGGTTTCATGGTGCCTACAGCTTTCAAAGCATTATGCTGACCTGAAACTATGTCCACTCCCACTCCCTCTATATAGCAATTAAGCTCATGAGACAGTCAAACTCGAGTTCAAAACTCAATTACTTTATGTGAATAATCATTTGACTTTTCTCATGATACCAAGGAAGAGAGTATTGATTGTCAGGGAACTGGAAAAACTGGAAGAAGTAATTTTAATACACGGAGAATTAGGCTGGTTTGAGAGGAAGTGAGTAGAGGATGCTAACAAATGAGCTAAGAGTATAAGTAAACCGAGTAGAAAGGACTAGAGTCAGTTTTATCCCTGGGTTCTAACTGAGGACACCTCTATGTTTAGTCTTTGGCAGTTTATAGTGATTTCCACATTTGTCAAAAGACTACAAATGGCCACTGCCTGCACATTCCGTAGTATGACACAGTTGTGAGGACATCCTTGGGATCTGACACAAGAAACTTTTCTACAGAACAGTCAGTTGTTAGAATTTTGACTTCCAACAGGCAAACAACATTTAATATTATTTTAGAAGGCAGATCCTTA